TGATGTTTTGTATTCAGGCGACAACGGTCTATAGATATACGTTATATACTTACTGTAAAACTTATTAATAAATAAAACCACCACTTCACTATGCACTATGTTATTGTTCGTTCATGTGGCAAATGGGAATAATGAGGAATAACCACAAATTTTATTTTCAAAACAGCTATGTGCTTCGCCTATAATAGATGAAGTTATATAAGTACATAATTATATCTAATAATTATAAACATTTTGTGCAATAAAATCTCTATAAACCCTTTAACAATTTTAACCACTAATACTTCCAATGAAAATTCTAAACAACCACTTGCGAAATTTTTATGTAAAATAAATTCAAAGAAAAATCTCATTTCTTTTCCTATCACGACTGCGCAAATCAGAATTTCCGCTCGATAATATAGTTATTCTATCGATTTTCTACTTCAGTCAGCAAATAAAAATACAGTCATGAAATCCGGAGGGCGGAATCCTAACTCCAATAACGTGGATGAGCTACACTGGGTACCTTATAATGAAACTATAAATCATAAAGTTTCAAAGCAAGATTGTACTAGCTGCCTTGTGCACGTACCATCGGTTGCGAAGATAATCCTTCGCTTTACACCGACCGAAATTGAGAATTTAGATTTGTGTTGAGCAATGGTAACCCGAAGATGCCAAAAAATATATAATAAAAGCTCTTCGCATGCAGTAAACACCTAATACGGCATCGCACAAGATACTGACACACAATAAGTCCAAGATACATACGATGATATTTCGTCAGAATCCGTTCTGTTATTTTACCTGAAGTAGAATAGAAATTTTCTGACCATAATATAGGTAAGGTAAGGCAAAAAATAGTTCATGTTTAATCTTTAAAGAAATCATTTACCTACATCTTAATACACCATGCCTGGTTTGTTACCCAAATAGAATGTAATTGGCAATTATATACAATCAAATCACTCCTTCGTATTTAATTGGTTTCATAAAATACCACAGCAAATGTTGAAGCAAAGGAAAATTTTGCACGTCGGGCTCCATAATTTTCCAGTACAATTTGCTTTTACTCGTTGGAAATAACACTGTGAAAATCTGATACTCAAATACTCCATAATCAGTTCTGCTGCAGTCGACAGGCGTCAATGTTAAAGCCAAAATCTATTTGATAATTTACATGACGTAAAATAATGAAATGTACGTTTAAATAGGTACATACTGTTACTTAGTTTTAATTAAATTCTCGTCAGTTTAGCAAACAACGTAGCTTTATGTATGGCTCACAGCTATCTGAAACTGTAACTAGTAATTAGTTCCACTAATAATACAAGCACTTATATTTTCATTACTATTGTTTGAACACCGAGTTTCGACTTGCCCTTTGTTAATCTTTACTCAGTTGTCAAAACTAAGATAATTAATCTATTTAGTAATCAAAGACGAAGTAACCGAATACCGTGGTAACTGTTAGCTTTAGCTACTTTTAAATGTTTAGGTAGATCGCTCGTGAAACAATAGAAATTACCGGCCAGTCCTACTACTGTTAACCCGCAACTTTAAATTAATTCACACGATAATAAAGTTTAGATGTAATTATATTTAGCCTGTGACTATCGGGCATTTGTGGTTGGACTTGTCAACAACTTTACGAATTAATAACTCAGTTTAACATCAACTAAACACATCGTATGCTAATACGTTTTCATGTAATGCAACGCAAAAGTATGGGTAGCAGGTTCGTTTTACATAATATTGATGTTAAATCTCCAGCAATTGTTCCGCTAAGTACTAAATCCATTTAACGACAATACATGTACGTATTTATACTAGGTATTAGGTAAGCACTCGTATTTGTTGATTCCCGGGACAATTCGGTGCTACTAAACATGAAGGTTTAAACAAAGAATCATTTTTTTCATTGATAAATAAAAACATACCTTTTTATTGTTGTATGAATAACAAATAGAACAAAATGTATTACGATTTTATCAGATAATACTTGTAAAACAATTATTGAGCAGACCTTCCCAGTGACAAGCAAAAAGCTTATGTTTTTTTTAAAATGATTGTTCATAATTCCCTTAGCAATGGGTTTAATCAAAGCATAAATTTGGCTTGTATATAAAATTGCAATATAATTTTAAAATCGTTCAGAAAACGCGATGTCGGCTTGATAAAGGAACATTAATCTATTTTTATTCAAAAGTTAATACAACCTCGTGAATTGGCCAATTATCTTTAAATCCGAAATTACTTCAGGAATAAGATAAAATAAAATCTTTAATTAAGACATAAATCGACTTTTATGGGGACGCGAATCAGGTGATTAGCAATAGACGTTGTAATTGCTATTACAGTCAGAACAGAACACACATTAACGAGGGGAGAGAGGAATTAAAGATTTGCTTACGTAAATACGCACATTATAGGGACGTATAATAAAATGTTGTTAGTAAGTAAATACATTTTTGCCGTTTTATATTCGTACTTTACACTCATACGGCCACAATCAAGGCTCATCGAAGTGTGACAACTCAGAAAGAAAGAGAAATTCATTCACTTTGTAAAATACTTTCTCGGCATGACAAAAGTGTTACACACTATCATAGACTATCACTGTGCAGCAGGGCGTCTTCAAAGAAACCTCTGTCGAGTCTATCGTTACAGTGTTCCGAGTAGGTAGGTACTGGCGTTCAATAGATACATAATCTATACCTACATACACACACGTATCTTCTAAGGACATTAGTTACTCTGTGCGTTAATCTTTCCCTTATGATATCCAAACTGCATAAATCGGAGACCTATCAAAATTGATCACTGCCGCTTTCGTAGGCACTTACAGCTTAAACTTAATCCTTCCTAAGCTAAATAAGGCTGTTCCGACACTCGCACGCATAATGGTATTATGGATTGCCAGGCTTAGCAAGTATAATAGCAACTAAGGCGTTATATTAACTTCGAAATAATTTAGAGGTAAGCTTCATTAGCGCTTAAGGAAGTGTAGGATGTTGAGGTGCAATTAGAATGAGAATTTACTGTAGCAAAATGTTTTTGCTCTTCATGTATATTAAATGTAGCGGTAATTTAGGCAATTTTCGTAGGTCAACGTTACCTTAGGCTTAATTCTTTAATATAGGTACCTAATCGTATTTAAGTGTATATGTCTTAATATTTTTATATTCTTACTTAACAACGCACGCATCGTTTATCTAAAGTAACACCCATAGTGAATTTTGTTAAATAAAATGAAAAAAGTAAATTATATTAAAACACAGATATACATACATTCAAATTCTAGGAATTCATATTATTATCTGTCTTAGAAAGGTAGTCGATATTGTGCCGAATCAAAGCGTTACTGTGTTAATAGGTACTTGGAATTTGTGTTTGACTACAATGCGGTACCTACCATGTGAAACACATTACAAATTAACCTGGTACGCATCGGAGCGGGAATTGATTGCGTAGTAAAGACATCTAAAGACTATTCGACCGCCCTGTCAGTGAGAACCCGACCGCTTCGCACTAAAAAACCCCGATCACGTTCCCAATAGAATACAAGTGCCCATGATGCATAAGTAACATGTTTGTTTTTTTAAATAACCCAACGAATGTAATGAATGAACAATGTTATCCGCAACACGATTCATTTTATAGCGGCCCGAAAAAGTTATTTTGTGTTTTTAAGGGCTACTGAATGTGTCTACTTCCTTGGAAAGGGTAAATCCCAGACTCCCACACGTTTGGCGTTGGCAAAACACCTGAGTGAGTATCTCTTATCATTTTTCATCTTATGCACTTACTTATCTGCTGCAATTTATCAATTGGAGTTTGATGAATTAAATTATTTTATTTGTTTTAATGTATAATCAGGTATTTTATTTACTCTCACGATTTTATATCCTCTTTAGAATCATAAATGAACTTTAAATTTTGTTAAAAATGCTCACTGTCTAGCAAGTTCGTCAAAATATTACGCATCAAAATTTCAATTGGGTAGTTTCCTAGGTAAAAAATAAATTAATTCGACGTTTCAATAAAATAAAATAATAAAAAGTAATAAAATATAATAAAAAATAATTAAATAAAATTAAAATAAATTTTATTCGATCGATTTATCGATCGATCGATACACTAAGTTTTAGTTTTTTTAGCTAATTATTAAACATGTTATGACGTCATAACTCAGTTTTTCATAGAAACCGCAATAAAAAAAATATAAATTCCCCTCCCCAATCCCTAAGGGTCTAAATCCCTTTTTCCCAAAAGGTGGACAACGCACTCGTTACTCCTCTGTTGTTGCGGGCGTCCACGGGCGTTAGCTGATTGCTTACCATCAGGTAATACGTCCGCTCGTTTGCCATAAAAAACACGTTATTATTTTTAAATATTTTTATACATACCTATCTAAAAACGTTAAACTTTAAACTTCTTACAAATTAAGTCCGTAGAAAATAAAACAGGTAAGGTTTGCGAAATAATTTTCGCTTCAAGGAAACAGTTCCCGCCCTTAAGATGATCCACTGACCTTTTTTTCTAGTACTTCGTAAATACTTGCAAAGCCATATAACTATTTCTAGGTACCTACAGTAAGAGTTACCAAAAATACAAAAAACACAAACTTTATTTTTCCCGCTATAAAACATTAGGACATTGACACCTTGACACTGACACGTCCTTTCATTCATTGCCAACATCCATAGACAAAAATATAAGCTATTTGTTTTTAATTCTAGCCTAGTGTAAAGACCAACAACTCGCCTAAAGTGTGCAATCTAAATATTATTTTCATTGTTTTTTTTTTGCCTAAAGTATTACAGTAAACATTTAATGTAGTACCTATTATTATCGTTATGCAATTAGTTGACAAAAAAATAAATAAACGAAAACCAGCCAGAGTTGCCAACAAAAAATGTTTAGTCGATTGTGTTTAAAACAAGTCTCTTAATTTTATACTACGATAGCAATTACAATTAATAATTTTCACAAAAAAAAATTGATGCTGTTTATTTTTCACATCTACGAAATTTATTATAGTAAAATTAATTTAACTTTGACATTTGTGTCAAATAACGTCGTGAACGCTTTCAATGCGTTGCCGTCAATATATTTTTAATCTGTGATTTAAAATTTGCCAGCTGGGCGGTTCCGATATTTATTTTCATAATTTTAAAATCAAAATATTTCCCTATAAACAGTATTGTAGATAATCGTAGTTCTTGCCATAAGGAGCTCAAGCTGCAACATGTAAGTACTGTAATACTATAGTTTTAATGCAATTACCTGGTTCTCGTTCGAAATCAATACCATTGTACCTGTGCTCTTAAAATTCTTGCGAAAGTAACAAAATGAATTAGTGCATTAACCTTTCAAATAGACTATTCATGACGCCGGAAAAGTGGGTAACTATTATTGGAATGTACAGATAGATCAACTCTGTTATTGTAAAATGTACAAATAATATTTATGTCAAGTGCGAGATGTGTGTAAAATTCTATTGTGTCAAAGAAAAAGTTTTCAACTGAAATAAATTATTGCTTTTATTTATTACCTACATTCTTATAAGATTGTTATAGTAAAGTTTAACATAATATGCTTACTGTTACTATTTAATGACCCAAAGTTGAAGATATTGTGTATTTTATATACCTAAGCTAAATTGTAAAAATAAATATAATTAAGTCTTAAACTAAAATGATAGACAGCAGGTTGGTTGTGTGACCAACCAACCAAGTTAAGTGTAATTTACAAAACTGCAACAACTTCATACTTTCTTTTTCAAATTACTGATTATTTTTATGCCCAATTTATTGTTTACTTTTATGGACAACTTTGCTTTCAGAATTAAAAAGAAAATATTCATTGTCAAACATCCGGTAATGTAATATTGTCGACTTGATTGAGTGACATAAATACAATCAATCTAAAGTCAATCAGTATTGTGTGAATTGTAATTATACAATTTCTAAAACAATCCATTTCTTATGTAGATGAATTTTGATAATGACTACTTTCCTAGGTTTCTTAGAAGTAATTATTAGTTCATTTACTTGCAGATTGAGCTAAGTAGGATGTTATGACAAATATCAAACTAATCATATTTAATATTTTTTCATTTTTATGTTATGTTGAAAATTATGTACTTTCATAGGCATGAAACATATAATACCAGACAAAAAAAAACTCCTAACCATAGCAGACTGACTTAAATATTTTCTCTCAATTAATGTAACAATGTCTGTCCTTTCGTTCTCTAGTTTGTAAGGACAAGCGGCATTGCCCCTGTATGAATTTGAATATATAGCTAGGTAGCTTTAACAATAAAAAACTAAAATTGAGTATATTCTAGAAACAGAACAAACAACTAGAACACATTTAAAATTAAACCGTTATTATACATAACTGCATTATACCTATTATAATAAATGTAGAATGCAGATTAAAGCATATAAATCAGAAAAAAAAGCATATATATATGTTCGAATTGAGAACCATCCTCCTTTTTGGAAGTCGGTTAAAAAATACTTCCATCACTAATCTCTTCGTCAATGTAAGCGATGAGCAAGAATATTATCTGCTTTTTTTACTCTTTTCTTTTATATAGGTGGGTTACAAAAATAGCCTACAGAGTTTATTTTTGTACAAGCAAAGAATCAATAAGTACCAGCTATGTAGTTTGTTCCGTCCAAGTGACCTTGGAAAGTTAGTAGGCACCCAATATAGTATTATTACTCACTCATAACATTTTTATAATAATTGGTCTTTAATGAATAGCTGTAACTTGAACAATTACTTGATTGTGGTTAAATATTAATTGGTTGATATTCATATATTTTGCTCAGTATGCCAATTTTAAAAGGATATTTTGTTTCCTATTAAAATTGAAAAATTATTGCTGGCAACAACAGCATTACGACTGTCTTCCCTAGGCATTGATAATTCCCAGTTCACCCTAACATAATATATAATATAATTTGGTCAATAAGTTTAATGATTATGATGTGAATAACATGCAGTAAAATTATATTCATCCATATGACAACAGCAGGTAAAAATTATGTGGTTAATAGTAACTGTATTAGTTGTTTTGTGTAATGTTTCCTCATTTGTTATTTTAAATTGAAATCCAAAATAACCATTTAAGTATTTGTTTAATTTCGATAGTGATTTTAAAAACTTTTCTAGGTAACTTGTTAGGAACATATATTTAATAATAAAACAATGTGATGTAACAAAGTGGGAATTATTATGAATATTATATTAAAGTGTCTTTATTGATATTCAAGCTATGATATTATCTATGAGCTCCAATGAAAATACACATTTTTATACTGTATTCAAATCTATTTGGTATGTACTTACTGGCTATTCCGACATTATAAAACACGTTCGGTATGTGTTATTATAGCATTTCATTTTAAATTGTCATTACTAATAACTTACCTGACCTGATCATATGACAATAAAATTGTCCTGTCTCTTAGGACTAATAGTGTAATAAAGGAACAATGATTATCAATTGTGTTCATAACTATTGTGATCTGTCTTTATAATCACACAATCGGCCTATGAATGTTATCTATAGTTACATACTTTACATACATACTTAATATAAAAGATGCGCAAGTTCCATTATGAAAATTTTTCGATCAAAAATAAAATTACTAAACAATCTGGCTAATATCTTCTATCAAAAAAATTAATACAATTCTGGAGCAAGATTTATCAGGATAGAACAATCTACCGATTCATGATGCAGTTTGTCACAATTTACACGCTTTTTAAGTCATGGGCAGCAATTGACTGTAAACAAAAATAGGTAAAATTAAAACCTTATATAATGTAAAAAGTATTTTATCCTTCGGCAGTTATTAGTCATTATATTTTATTTTACTTTTATTCCTAAATGTGGTTCGTTTAACTTTAAGTAAATAGAAAGTGTTCTGAAGCCGCACTGCATTGCACAGCGAGAGCTCTGTTTAATTATGTCTGTGTATTGTCATGCGCTGTGCAGAATATACTAATTTTATCTCGTTTTCAAATCAAAATTTATTATCGAACTAGGCATCATATCAATGTGCTTTGCGTAACAATATTTATTGTAAAATTCGAATTAATGCTATAAGTACGTACTAATTTCAGTGGATCCGTTCAATGACCAAGAGTCCGAATCATTTTTCATAATCGCTTGAGTGCACTCAGCGTGTAAAGCGCAATTATGAGATTAATAACTGTTTCTATACTATGAGTCTCACATGCTTATTTGATCTTTAATCTAAATTGTATAAATAATCTAACATATAACTTTATTTGTATAATAATTATGGTTATCTTGGAATCAGCTCAATCATTGATGAAAGTCATTCAAAGATATTCAAGCTATCTCCAATAGAATTATTTTGTATGAATCGTTAACAATTGCGACATAATTATGTTTAATAGTACGCTTTGCACTGCTAACGTTTCAACATGGACTTATTGCGCCGTGCGCTCGCGTCGCGTTTAATCGCACTACAGTAACCTGTAGTTGCTGGTTGCGTGTATACAAATAACAGTAGCTACTTGCGATCGTGCCGACAGACAAACAGCTAAAATCGTTTTAACTTTAGGTACCTAGATGCACTAAGTACTTAAATTGAAATATCTGTGTCGAGTGCCCGTCGTAACGAAACGGGATGAGGGGAGTTAACAGGCTCTCTACAGTCTAGAATTGTCCCAGTGTCGCAATACCAACCTGACCAGTCACGTATCGAATGTCCTTATCCAATTGGTACTATCACTACAGTGTTATTGCATTCATGTACGTAAAACACGCATATTGTGCGATACGATAATAGCCTATTTTTTTATTGAAATATACCTTTATATTGTAATCTAGGGACTGATGCAAACGTTTTAAAACGTTTTTAAATCAAGAAGTACTCGCACACAATAATTTGCAGCGTATACAACAAGCTGTTCAGTAACCCATAACGGGTATATTGCCATCGGCGATTGCCGTCTCTTTAAATTGACAAGCGTGCCACAGCTATGCCATGAGTCACGGTTGCCTAGCCTACCCACGTGGCTCGACTGCCCTCGTCAGTTCGCGACTCGTTATTTTTTTGTGACAAAAACTAGAAATACGCATTGTGTGGCTGCCATTCTACCCATTAGTATTTGAACTGGACAAAGAGATATTCAGAATCGGTCTCCATTTTTAACAGTTTTAATTTACATCTCATTCTCGAAGTACACATATTACCTCTAAATTTATAGCCCCAAATTGCGTACCCGCGCACTATAATTTTATCGAGCCCTTATTTAGGCTGACTAATTTAACACTTGTCACTACGACCTGAATTAGGTTAATCCACGGAGTATTAATTCAGGATTAACTATTGAAATCCAAAACGATACTTTGGTACATATACCGAGGCACGATAAATGAGAAGTAATTTACGTGTAGAGTTGTAACTTTACCAGCGGTATTATACCTTCGACTTGCCTTAAGATTTGATATCAAGAAACAAAACATGGCAATTAGCTAGCGATCTGTTTTAAATACCACACTTACCTAATTAGTAATCGAATCTGTTTTAAAACTAAGCGCTAAATTGGGACTGAGCGTAGTCATAACATAAAATTTTAAATTACAAGTATTAGTTAACGAAGCTACATTATAAACTTAATATGTAAATTCTTAGTACTTACAAGTTTGCTTCTCTTAATCTGCCCTATGCGACTTTTGCGAATGCGAAATATATGTATCTTAATCTGTGTCAGACTTGTGTTTACTAGTAATATAAGTGCTAACAAATTTTACATCAAATAAAATGATAAAATACCTTAAGTGTAACTATTTTAAGAAATAAGTACTAGTTATTGTTAGACGACGATTATTTTTATGTCGGAAATACGAGCTAATTACCCATCTATGAAGGTTTTTACAATGGAATAATCGATGAATGAATGATGCGCATACAATGGTGTACTGATACCATCGCATGCCCCTTAACAAAGGGATACAACGTCAAACCCTTAACTGCCTCCCTAGATATATAGTTTTCAGACGGGTCTATATCGACATCTTTATTTATTTTTTCAGTTAATGTTCGAGCCGGGCGGTGCTGAGACGTGTACCGCACACATACTTAGACCAACCACAGGTACTTTTCAAACTTCTCATCCTTCATGTTAGGCTTCCTTATGATTTGACCACTTAAACGCGTTAGTTTGCTAAAAGTAATTAGTTCATTAGATTTACCAACCAATATTACTTATTATTTTAATAATGAATTGATGTAATGCAACTTAACTTGCCGATTTTACAATCACTGCACGTATTTTAATGATGTAACTTATTTCATTAGTTTATTTAATCTTCAGTATCTATAGATGTAATGCATATTGCAAATTATTTTATTACCGCACTCAAAGTATATTTACAATTCTTTGTTCCTCTTTCCGTAACATGCCAAAACATGCAAGCTCTACGTCTGGCCATTGAATCAAAACATGACGACAAAACGAATACATACTTAGGAGCCATAATAAAAAACAACCTTCAAACACATTGTTAGAATACTGGCTTCAGAGTAGTTTCTACTGTTGTTGATAGTTACGCTTTTAAAACACACACATAATACACTAAATGATTTGGAAAGAGTAATAAAAAATCTTCTAAACATCTCGTTTAATTAATTTAAAAACGTTTACATAACACAAACAAATGTAATTGCTCCAATAAGAAAACTTGTAAGGTTTGTAACCTTACCTTATACCGACATTCTCTACATAAGGTCAAATTTTTCTCGGCGCTATAGTTATTACATCGTCAGCGCGTTAGTCATTGCTACTGGCGATGACGTTGTTTAGCTCTCATACTACCTACGTTTACTTAATAGTAGAGAACCCTGAAACCTGATTTGTTTGTTTATCGACAAAGCAAACAGTGGCGAGACAGGGCACACTACCACTCTGAGTGCTTTTTCACTTCTATAAACAGCAGAGTATCAAATTGTATTTCACCTATTAAGTATATAATATTAGCAGTACTCGGCCGCAAAACCTGTGAAAACACATGTAAAGCGCTAGTCTGGGCCTTCACGTCACAGTCAGTTAAGAGCTCAAATATCGCGGTACGAATTAGTGCTGCCTATGAATATTTTAACTAGAGCAGCCGAGCGGACGGAACTAAGTTGTTTCACAGAGCGCGTGAAATACCTGAAAATACAGCTTTAAGAATAAAGTAACATTGATTCAATAACAGCATTGCATAGAAACCCTCTCTACGTGTATAATTATACACGATTTTATTTAGGTATTGATGAAAACTAAGTAAAAATAGTTACTTTATTACCGTTCGGCGTCCGACCTGATCGCTAGTACTGCGTTGCATAAGCCACTGTTCCATAAATGGATACTTATCGAACTCCGGCACGCAAGTACCTTTGCCTATAAGTGTACCACTCAATCTTCATCATTAAAACGGAAGTTATTACTCACACATCTACTGGTGTACGGTAAAAGCATGTTCTTGTCTTGTCTACCAATAATCATCTTATATGTGGTGCAGAAATTCATTGTTTTACAATAAGGTTGAAATGCATCTCAATAACTAAGTATGCCTGTTTCATCCTCATTTGGTATTCACTCACCGTCACTGAAGGAGGTCGTAGCTAGAAACAGGAATCTTCCTCTGTATCAATTTTTTATATTTGCAGAACTCACTTCAATATTGTATAGAATCGTATTCTTTGATTGTTAAATAAGTTGGGGCTGAAACTACGGATTTTTTTACCTAAATTTAAATATTGTATTCGTCATCATTATGTTAATATTTTACAACCCAAAACATTCAAGCACTCCTGATTAACTAGGCACATGACATAATTTAAATAGCAAATACGATATCTGTTTCATGCTAGCGGTTTTTCCGTGCCATTGCGCGTTTAAAATATTCAGCAGATATCTAGCCAATCTGATTGTGTTTCAGCACAATCAATACATTTATTTTTCATATGTTATGAATTTCCCTAGCGTCTATTGAATCTTTTTGATATTTCGTTTTTTTCACAACATCAGAGAATGTGTAATAACATCAACTTATAATTACGATTATTCGTTATATGTTGTCTGATTAGTTTAAATGTCTTATTTAATTAGTTTTTAATTCATATTATTATCGAATCTTTTTATCACTAATGTTTTGTTAAGTCTTAAATCAAACAGCAATCAACATTCGAGTGTTACGCTCCACTAGTAGAAACTAGAACCAATAACAAAACGTGGACAACTCGCACGTCTGGTGGTCATTGCCACCATACTTGCGTGTCATGTTGATGCGGAAAGCGACGTTCCCCGGTAAATACACTATTTTGTCACATTACGTTATATTAATTTAATAAACAATTAAATTCCAAAACCTGATTGAACTCAAACTAGTTTATGAACCCATTATTATACAGCATGAAAGTCTGAAAATATGTTTAGAGTTTATTCTTAAGTCAAAATGTAATTCAGCGATTCCGATGTATCCACTTAGCGCGCATCTAGCTCGCGGCATGTTATTCTATTACGATGCCGATGTGAAGAACACGAGCGGCCTTCATGCTTAGTGGGCGGATGACCGCGGAGCGTGCGGATCATGCCGCGACTTTCACCTACCTGCTGGTGATTTCATCAAAACAAAACTTTAAAACATTACAACTCTGCCGGTCATTCGTACGTTATTATTTACTTTAAGTCGCTATATACCATTGTAGTCGTTGCTGGATGTCCAATAGTTACTAGTGCATCGTGCGTGATCGTGACTCTGTGCTACAAAGCAGATAGATGTTTTCTTTTAATCATATTATATCATTCATTAACTGTTTGTGCATGTGTGGTGAAGCTGGCTGGCTTTTGTACAAACGTTTATAAAAGGGGTGGCTTACATTTTTTTACTACCTAAGCTCCATAGTTCTTTGTCTACCAAATAGGTCATTTATAAAAATCGTGCTATACAGGTTATCCACATAAGTTTAAATCAAAGGATTAGTCATGTATGTATGATGTAATTCCCAACAGATCATCATATAAAAATACCGTGATTGATATTCAAAATCATTTAATCAGGAACTGAATAATTGGTTGTTTTGTTTGAATTATTGCAATTAGTATACAATATTAATAATAACTTTGCAACGAATTATTACGGAAACGTAGTCTGGTTCGTGCGTCACATAAGGGCGTGTGGCCCAGCAAATAAGTGTGTGGAGCTGATGGCGTGACCGCGCGTATCTGGTGCAGAAAGGAGAGCGCAGTGAGCAGGGGCGAAGGGCGAGGGGAGGGCTCTATATGGCAAAGAGTCACCATGAAGGTGGATGCCGACGCCAGGGAAGCGCCCGCCGCACCGCCCGCTGCACCCGGAACGCCGATCGCTAGTAATACAGAATCACCTGTATCCTCTCTGGACGGTTTGTTGGTTTAAAACTAACGTTCACTAATGAGCACATTATTTAATATAGAGCTTGCATCCTGTCACACTTAATGTCATCTTCAAGTCATTTCTCTTGACGACACTAACGTGGTTAACATGGCTGACGCTGCTTCAGTATTAATCTACTAACATATACACCATCGCTTGTTTTGTTTTAATTTGTGTAGTCCTAGAAGTACTTAGTTTATTTATTTATACGTGTATAGACGACATACATTTCGATGGTGTGGAACAATAGTAATAATGACAATTTTAAATAATTTTCTGCGTTTAGCTGATGAATGTAATTTAAGTCGAAATCAATAAATTGCGAATTGTTAGTACATCAAACCTAAAGCATATTGCCTTTTGCAGTAATTAAGGCCAATAGAAGAAGGGTAAATAAAGATGGGAATTCACTTACACTTAATGTAATTTATCAATTACACATCCAAGATTCCGGTTTACAAAACATTTGTTTCTGGCCTCAGCTTGGTAGCCATCCAGATTGTTATAAGTTAACTAAAGTGTCCAAGTTATTATTTACTAGCTTTATTTGTTTCCACAATAATCATTACTGATCGAAAGGTGATGTGAATTTGAAAATCATTATGTGGCAATCATCATACACTCTAAAATATGCCATTCGAAAATATCTTCTTCCAAAAGTTTGCTTCTGAATTTGCGAATTTGGGTTTACGTCAATCAAGAAGGTCGTAATTTTCGTTGCTTGACAAATAGCCCATGTCCGGAATCGGAAAAGGGACAATTTATTCCGGAAATATAGACCCGGTTTCTATAATTCAACGCCAGTGATTGTTCAGAAAAATGCTTTAAGTATATTTTAGAGTAAGTTGCAACTATTTGCTACTATTAAGTATACTTGTTTTGAAGAAGTATAAATTCGTGTGCGTATATTGGTAGCGATTCACGTGAACTAATGTTTTCTTTATTTAGACTTACGCTAGGTAATACCCAATGGGCATTTAAATAAAGCCATTGTATTGGCTGCCTTCCAATCGATTTTCAATAACAGTCATCTAACTGCCAAATGCCAATTAAGTTGAAACATGATCAAAATAATTTTAGTAAAGGGTAGCTTATTCAAGGTGGAGTGAACTTTGTGCTAAATATTCGTTAATATTTAATATTAATCTACGCCCTCAAACGTTTCAAGAGTAGAATATTATTATCTATGTATCTGTATTGTCTCAGTTTTATGTTGGTTTTGTGTCATTCCTGTAGGTACATTTGGGATCATAGTCATCATGGAAGTATTCTTTTAGTTTAAGTAGTGAGGCTACAAACGTTCTTTTTTTTTTTGTTTTACGTTGAAATTTTGAATAAGCTGGTCTCAATGTACGCAGATTACCGGTTACTTGAGCCTCCTACCGAGGTGATTCCGACGCCCGACCGGGCGTTACTAGCCAAGCTGGAGGAAGAGAACAGACGCATCGAGGCGGACGCCAAGTGCCCCTCGCTAACCACCGTGCACAGTCGAAAGAGTTCTGATACTTCCCAAGTATCTCTAGCTTCTGGTAAGTTTTTATTACAACTTCTGTCGCCCGAATACTGTAATGGTACTGAATTTTAAGTTGCACTTAAACTTCAACGCCAAGTCAGCGGTAATATTTTTGAGAGCGTCTTAAATTGGAGTGACGTTTGAGTATTGCAAAACTGTAAAATTTATTTGCATCGGTAAAATTACACTTAGACGCCACAAGCATAACATCGCCCATTTAATCTCTAATAGGTTATGAAATTTCTATGGGTTTGACAGAAAAGGAACTCGGCTAACGGCTTACTTCTTATTCCCATGTAATAAGAGTTGAACCTATTAGAGTATTTCGTTGAAAACATCTTCTGACATTCTTTTATACTTTTTACCAGATAATTAAACGCGTAATATCATTTATTGTCTGCTCAAAATCGAAGCAGCCAAATTAGTTAATTAGTAAATAATAACTTTTAGACCTACTGCCTTACTTATTATATGCCTAATAAAAATATGAATACTTAATACTTATTTACGCTATTAAATAAATTTTATTCAAATTAAAGCAGTCTACATTACTATGAAATAAGTACAAAGTTATTTAGTTGTGTTGGCAAATAATATGCAGTGATTGAGGAAGGTATTACGCGATAATGAACGGGCACATTTTGTGACCTACTTTATTTTCTTAGACAATTAATAAAAAATGTTTGTCTCTCACGACTTGTAACTCACCAGTTGCGTAAGTAACGGTATAATAACTTCGCTCAGTATCTTGCTAAGTTTACTAAACTCTGTATTATCTATGATAACCGTTCTGAAACTATGATAACTTAAGTTTTTAAAAGGTGACCAGATTATAAATTATTTTTTTAGTTAACTGCCATCTGTTTGATATTTGATATTTACCTATATTATTATTTGATAACTTTTGCGTGATCTAGATTGAGTTATGTTAGTTTCTAAACTGTTAACGCAACTGTCAGATTATTATCTCTTATCAGTAGTAACTGGCAGTGATAGCGCAGATATGAAGTATAACTACACATCTTGTAAATAAAGTGTTTAGTAAAAATGAACGAACCACACGATTTGCTATACGATAGCAAAAGTGTGATTGAGTTTTATATTTCTTGTGTATTAGAAAATTTATCGCTGGGTGGGTTGTTGTTTAATGTGTTTATAATGTAAATGTATCCTAATACCGTGAGTCACAGCTTCCAAATTTGCGTGAACGTCAACATAATCGGATTATTTAGAACAAGAATGTTTTGACCCTTATAAAGATAATAAAATGTTTTCTCCTCGTCAATGGAATCTAGTAAATTAAATCTCACATAAAAAATAATACAAATACGGACAATGTATCTACATTAGCTAATAATGTCATTATTTGTGTTCTGGTTTTAGTGACAAGTAAGTCATGTGAATAGACGTCATGACACAATATATATTTATGCCCTTTATAAAATTCTAAAGCAGTCGCAACTTGGCTTCGGTTTGTTTTTAATTTTCACGCTTTTTCCTCAAATCAAAAATGGTTTCCTTTTTGAAATTGCAGCAGCCGTCTAAACCTAAATTGACATTGCATTAGTTAAGTTTTAGACAACAAAAGCGTGGTAGAGAAAGAGTCGATTTTAAGTAATGTTTGTTCGTTTGTTTCAACAGACATTATGCATATGTTTAGCTGGTGTAGGCGTTAAACTCGGTCATGTCCTTGTACGGCAACTTGAATCCTACTACGACACTGCAATGACGGAACCCTATTTTAGCCTGTTATTTATTTGTATTTTCATTCTGTTACTTTTCAGGCAAACATTTTAAAATAGTTAATGTTTATATCAAAATTATACGAAGTTCGAGCCGACCCGTTTGTGCATTTAAAATTGTTATAACATGGGATACCTATTTGTGTTTTTTCTAACCAAGGAACTGCTCTGTATTTTAATTTCTCACGTAGATAAGATTCAGTATTAGTGTACCTAAAGTACGTATGCGTTTAATACTATACTTTTGTCTACAGAGATTACACCATCATTGTAACGATTTTTTACATTTATTATTTCCCTGTCAAATTGAACTCCGATATTTCTCTTAATTCTTGAAAGCGGGTTAAGATTTTACAATCGTGTTGCGAATGTTGATACAATTTAGGTCTTAAACTAATAAACAGCAGAAAAGATTCATATCACTGCTGCACTTGCATAGTAATCTAACTTAAAACATTTGGTACCATATTCGTGAAGTATAATGTTTTCCTAAGACCTATTTGAAATTTGCAGCTACAAGTTCAAGTCATGACGCGGAGGCTCGGGTCAGTAACAGTGCAAATGGCGAAGAAGACCTATGGAGTCTCTGGGGTCGAATCGTCAGCAATTGGGAGACAGAGTGGAAGCGACGCAATCAGTTCGTGCGAGATCTGGTGCGCCAAGGAGTACCACATCACTTCAGAGGCATCGTGTGGCAACTGTTAGCTGGAGTCGACACTTCCCCCGAAAAGAAGCTCTATGCTTCTTATATTAAAGTAAGTTTTTGAATGTAATATTAGATGCAATTTTGATTTAAACGTAGCTAGTAATCGTGATAATAATTGATAATATTATTATGTTACATATTTTCTGTTCGTTTGTGTATTACCTAAACCTAATATTATAACTTCTTAAATATCTCCTAAGTTTTTACTAGATTTGCGAACTTTATTTGCGACTGTGTCGCTTGAAACATAAACCCAAGAATACACAAATGTTCATTCCAAAAATATGAAACCGACCAATATTCTATTCTATTGTGTTCTTGGTTATTTAATATTAACACTCGGGATGTTCGAGACGTTTTATTTAAGGTTCAGGTATTCTTGTTCGCCTATTTAGAAATGTATGCTGTTTGCTACCGCAGGCCTGTCTCGTCACCTTGGTTTTGTGGAGACACCAGACAATCTATTTCCGTCCTGATCTCTGCACTAGAACGTGACATAATAGACACAGCGACAAAAACCACCAGACAAAACCTATCGAATTGTTATTGTTATTGCAAGTTTTTGGAAGTGACTGAAGCAGTTCTTTTTTCTTCATAATTTAATAACTTAGAAATACTTAGTACAACTGCTTGGAGATTCTGGTTGATTACAACTTTTGAGAAAGTATTATTGCAGCAAAAACCTTCTTTTTTCAGTCCTTTAATTTCTTATGCTCACAACTACATGTCTTTTTTACTCACTACTAGCATCATAATATAATAAAAACTGTCGTTTTGAAATTAAGATATCATTTCATTCGTATTTTAATATAAAACATCTCCTTTTTAGGCGAAATCAGCATGTGAGAAAGTGATTCGTCGGGACATAGCTCGCACGTATCCGGAACATGATTTCTTCAAAGAGAAGGATGGGCTTGGCCAAGAGTCCTTGTTCAACGTGATGAAGGCATATTCCCTGCATGACCGCGAAGTGGGGTACTGCCAGGGTTCCGGGTTCATCGTTGGGTTATTGCTTATGCAGGTTAGTTATGAATCGGCTTTGCGGTGCAGGGCAATAATATACCTTGGCTCTGACCTGAAGTAGAATAAGTCAGCAAACAGATTACCTGATGCAAGGCAAGCAATCGGCGCCGCCCATGGACACTCGCAACACCAGTGTATTGTCGGCCTTTTTTGGAGAAGGGTTGCGGATATTTAAGGATTGGGAAAAGATAAGGGAGGGGAGGGATTGGGACTCCGGTAAACTTATTCACACGGCGAAACACAACACTGTGGTTGTTTTACGTCGGTTTTTGTGAGGCCGTGGTATTAGCCCGGTCAAACCGACTCATTCGTGATTCCCAAACTTCTATTATGTTTTTGCTATGGATATGTCAGTACAATGACAGTGGATTTTAAATTTTATAACAGACTGGTAACATTGAAAATGATTTAAAGGAATATGTTTCCATAATTTGATTTATTGCTGTGTGAAATCGTTTTTTAGCAATGTCACGATTTATAAAACGATTATGGCGAATGATGATAGCAACTACTAGCATGTTGGATGCTTTGATTACGGATTAATTAATTAATCAAACCAGTAACCGTGCGTAGTTAGGAACAGTCTCCGGGTGTATGTTGATGATAAAGTTATATTATAGCATTTGTACCTGCCATATTGCACATCCTGTTCCTTATGATCGCCATAGACATTATTGGTCGCCTATAAAACACAATGGAGGCTCCGCTGCTTCGTTAGTTGATCTTTTGTTTCCCTTTTAATGTCATAGCAATTCTCAATATAATAGTTTTATAACATAGACAAAATGAACAAAAAATTTAATTTTTACTTAACATTTTTAAATAACACATAACTTTTGGTGTAGTTGCAAGGAAAGAGCAGATCACCATATTTATTTCCTGTTCTATAGGACATGACGTCATTTTTTTCTTAAAAATCTTTCTTACCTGTTTTAAGCTACTTTAGTACATTATTCAAGTATGTTTTACTAGTAAATTTTGTTTGGGAAATACATAATAATAAAAACTTTATTTTACTCCATAAAGATGCCAGAGGAAGAGGCTTTCGCGGTGTTAGTAAAGATAATGCAACAACATCGCATGCGGGACATGTTCAAGCCGAGTATGGCGGAGCTCGGTCTCTGCATGTTCCAGTTGGAGAACCTCGTTCAGGAACTGTTGCCTGATCTCCACGTGCACTTCCAGTCACAGGTGAGTGATGGTCGTAGACGACATTTTATTGCTGCCGATATAATGGCCCATAACTTTTTAATAAATGCTTGACTACTGGCTGAAGTGCAACGTGCCGCGGCGCGGATCCGATTGCCGCACGGAACAACTCTTTTTGTGATCCACAAATTGTTGTTCCTGGTCTTAGTGTGATGTGTATGTCGAATTCTATATTTGTAAACGCACACATGAGAAAAATGCTATTGCATTCAAGTCATTTTAACCGTCATTTACATTGTATAAAAGTTAAATATTCGTAGGCAACGCTTTATATAAATATAAAAAAAATGCTAGTACGGTCTGGGAGGCCCATTTTACATAAGAAATATCAGCGAATAGGTACAATATACTTTTATAAAATATTAATACCTTTCTATATCCAAATATTGAGGTCATAACATGTTTATTGTTCTATCAAAATCTCTCTTACCTTTAAAAACCAAAAGTAATAAATACGACTTTTTAATGGTCTTAAAACACTAGCTATTAAAGATAAGGAAGTAAAAAACATCGAAAAATGTAAATAACATTAGTGTGAGTATCAATATCTAAGTCATTTTAACCGTCATTTACATTGTATAAAAGTTAAATGTTCGTAGTTATAAATTTAATTACGTATCTATTAGAAATTTCAATGTTTTTAATTTCGAATGTTAACAAATAAACGATATTAGTCCGTAGTGTAGGTAATATAGATAACTCGATCAGCTTCAAGTCACACGTCGGCTGCGCGACGTTCATAGATTCGTGTATCGCGCAATGCTGCTTATGAATATGAGCTCATTTGTCTTTAGTTATTTTAAAGAGGTAAAGTCTGTATGTAGATAATCTTTGAAACTGAGGTATCTATCAGTGAATGACAGTGTTCCTGAATGCTATAAAGTATAAATTATACGTCGAGCTATCGCACTAAACGCTGCTTTTAAAATCCCAGGACAAATTAATTTTATACGCTGCGAAGACGCGGGCGGAAGCTAGTAAAATATAATTTTTCTTCAACTTGCAGAGTTTCAACACGTCTCTGTATGCCAGTAGTTGGTTCCTGACTCTGTTCACTACTACTCTCACCTTGCCGCTTGCTTGCCGAATCATGGATGTGTTTCTGTCTGAAGGAATTGAAATCGTATTCAAAGTGGCCCTCGCTTTACTTACGGTGGGCAAGAACGACTTACTGTCGCTCGATATGGAAAGTATATTAAAAGTAAGTATAAAATGTGCTGATGTTCACACGAATTTAATTCAAGTTTCTAATTTACACCATAATTCATACTCAATAACCCATACCTTTGGGACATGTTACAGACAGAACTGTGTATGTGTCACTTACAAAAAAGATTTAGAAACGGTTTGTATATCATCTATACAAGATGTACAAGTGCATATTTCACCCAAAAAAAAAAATGCAGTTTCTTTTTAATACAACCTCCACTAAATTAAATGTTCACAGTACATACAGAAGGAACTGCCGTCGAAAGCGGAGGCCGATCAGGATGCCTTTATGAACCTCGCATATTCAATCAAAGTTAATCCAAAGAAGATGAAAAAGCTAGAGAAAGAATACACTGTGATTAAAACTAAAGAACAGAGCGATATAGCCGTGTTGCGGGTAAGAATATAGCTTTTGCAATTTCAGGGTGTGTGATCTGTTCATCTGTTTTCCCGTGTGACGCCTTCTCTTGGTTTGACATTTGGCTAATGGATCTAACTACATAACCCTCATTTGACGTGTTTTCAGCATTCTGATTTCTAAATAACAACTGTTTTTACTCATTTTCAAATGCTAATCAAAATCATTGCTTAGGGAACATATTGTACATACTTCTAGAAGTGTTTGGTGTTAAAACTGCATGTCTACATTCTTGGAAACATGGTATTCATTGTAGTGCCTGCGTCAGGAAAATCGTCTGTTGAAGCAACGAGTAGAGCTGCTCGAGAAAGAAAGTTCTGGGTTGGCTGAGAGGCTGGTGAGGGGACAAGTGGACCTCGCAGAAGGTGAAGAGGAGACGTTTGCCCTCGCCCGAGAGGTGCAGGCCTTGAGAAGGGCTAACGTCGACGCACAACAACGTCTAGCGGTCGCCCAAGACGAGATACGGTCGCTAGAAATGACGATCGCTGAAGTGAGTTCTTTTACTATACCTACCTGCAGAAATATAATCGTGGTTATAGAAGTTGTGGCTATCTCAAAAGAGGCCTTTAACAGTAGCAAATTTAATTAAAATAAATTATAATTTTATTATATTTTTTGTCTCTAGTACAAATTATACATATTACATCAATAAAGAGCATGCATTCCTTTTTAGAACAATTCGCGGCAATCGTCGTTGGAAGGTATAGAAGGTACTAGCAGTCAGAAAGGGGAGGAACTGGCTCGTTGCTTGCAAAGGGAGTTAGTACGGGCAAGGCTTCACGCAGCTGAACGTGAGGCAGCCGAGCGGGAACTGACCGCTCGTATCGCAGAGCTCGAGAACGAAAACAAGAGCCTGAGGAGACAGCGAGTCGATAACAATGTAGCCCACTTACAGGTGAATTAAAACTATAAAAATTAATAGTATTTTATTATTATAGTTGTAGTACGTGTGCTCTTAGATTAGGGCAGTGTTTCATACGCTTGAAAAATGAAATACATAAAAGCAAAATTACATGAATTAATTGAATGTTCCTTAGTATTTAACTTTGACTGCACGGTTGGTGCGGTGGCTGGGCAACTGGCTACCGTGCAACGTGTCGCGGGTTCGATTCCCGCACGGAACAACACTTTGTGAGATCCACAAATTGTTGTTTCGGGTCTGGGTGTCATGTGTATGTGACATTGTATGTTTGTAAACGCAACCACAACACAGGAGAAAATCCTAAACTGGGGCAACGTTTTTCAAACTAAAAAAATAAATTACATTTATGGTTGTAATACAGTAATGTCAGTCGGTCTTAGTAAAAGGTGGCGTGAATGTTTACAGGACGAATTAATTGCTGTGAAGCTGCGCGAGGCTGAAGCTAATTTATCGTTGAAAGATCTGCGGCAACGCGTGACGGAGATATCTGAAGCGTGGCAGCGACATCTACAAGTAACACATTCCTTCACATTCATAACTTTCAATACTTTTAACAATAAGTAAAAGTAACACTAAACATTCATATTTTTATCTATTCCGATCTTCAATCATCAAATCCTTATACATCAATAATTCTTCGAAGAACTTCTTACGACAGTAATTCCTTACTAATTTACATTTATAAATATATCTATGTGTGAAACACATACAAACACTACGGTAGTCTCAAACGTTTGGTAGTCAAATTCAATACTTTTATCCAAATTTCAAAAACAATACTTTTTGAAATTTGTGTGAAACTCCAAATTATGACATAACAGTATTTTTTCTTAAAAATTAGTTTATTTATTTCAAAAATTGAGTTTATCGACAGATCGATGAAGAAAAGTATTATTATTTTTCAATATTTTATTGTATTGAAACGTCGAATTAATTTATTTTTGACTGAGGAATATACCCAATTGTAGGAACACAGACAAGAAGTTCCCGCCACGCCGGTGCAGTCAAACGTAGTGTCCGATATAATGGCAACGCCTAAGAAGTTGTTGCGCGCTTGGGAGGGACGCTCGGGTGACGTGCAGAAGCTAGAAGAGGAACTTATGACTACTAGGATTAAGGAAGTCGAGGCACTGACTGAGCTTAAGGAGTTAAGACTGAAGGTAAGGTTTAATGGTTTGAAATAGTTTCGATACTCATAAACAGTATGAATTTAGTGACAGATTAAAAGTAATAGAACTTTACAACACGTAGTGTTTCGAACAACTTTTAGGGATGGATCAGCCCTCAGTATAATTTTCAGTGTCATAATTGAGTTGTTAAAAAAGTACGAACATACAGTCGGGAAAGACTAAGGACTACTCTTGCAAAGGATACATATCATAATATCAATACTTAGCAAGTAAAATGGAGATAACAGTTTAAATCTTCTGGATTATAACACAGCATTGTTGCCGGTCTGACTAAAAACTTTCTCCGTTATGAATAAATAATTTTAAATTACCTCTAGGTTATGGAGCTGGAAACCCAGGTGCAAGTGTCGACGAACCAGCTGCGCCGCCAGGACGAGGAGGCGCGTCAACTTCGGGAGAACCTCGACGCGGCTTTACAACGCGAAAGGGTACTGCAAACACGCCAGAGGGAGTTCCAGCACAAGTATGCTGATTTAGAAAGCAAGGTCAGTCTCTATACATACGACTCCAATCGTTTTCAGTTACTTACTGAATCATCTTCAGCACTAGCCACTGCTGAACTGAGGATAAGTGCAAATAAAATATATACTTTCAGACCAAGACATTTATTAGTCCGCAGAGGGTCATCCCTATGCGGACTTCACTGGTAATAAAAAAACTATTTGTCATAAAATCATAAAACTGACTTATGACTGAGTTCCTTGCACCATTTCATCTGGTCGTAATAAATTTTGAAAGTTGGTTCTAAAAACGGCTGTGTTTAAGTAGTAGAAGTAAGTTTTTTGTTTGCCTCCACAGGCTAAATATGACTCCATGCAAGCGAATATTCGAAACATGGAGGACGCTCAGAGAATAGCCGAACTGGAGACTGAAGTGTCGGAATATAAATTAAAGGTAAGATAACACAGTCACTATTTATATTAAATTTGGTCACATTTTATAAATATTTAAGATATACAATACCGCCGACGTATCTTGGCGAGTCTGAAGTTAGCCGATTAGCTGCGCAATACACAATTTTTTTCCTAAAAAAAACCATTGCGCAGACAAACGGCTAACTTCAGACTCGCCAAGATACGGCGGCCGTACTGTATGTTCCAATACCTATACTTACAATGAAAATATTACAGTTGTATAAGGTAACGATTCTACACAGGAACTCTCGATCCACCAGACTGGAACAAGATACCCGTTAACTACTCAATAGTAGGTATAATACAGTTCGATATAGTTATTCCACGTCTGTAATTTCAGAATGAAGTGATGGCCACTGAAGGTGAGCTTCGCAATAACATGGACGGCGACTCCGACGGGATCCAAGAGTTACAGGAGCAAGTCGCTGTACTAAAGGCTGAGGTACACACCCACTCTAACCCCACACCACTGTAATATACACTCTAGCAACAAAATCACAGCCAAAGAAAATTAATTAAAGAAAGAAACTCAACACTTCCTTCTAATAAGAAAATATAAAAATAACAACGCGTCTTGACGCTTTGCTTTCCTAACAACTAAAAGGTCCGTTTGAAATTAACATGCTTATATATATGAATAAAATTCATTACAAAGGCACACGATACTAACATAATGATCATGGATTTGATATCGTTTCATGTTTGAGGAGCGCACAGTGTGGTCCATCACTTGCTATGACAACGCTTCAGTCATTGTAACGGCAACGCGGCTTTGTCTGTGGGACTCACTTTGTACATTAATGTGTGAAATACTCAGAAAGGACACGACACTGCTATATATTGTTCACTCGATCATCAATATTAAATGTGTATTAGGACAAGTTAAAACCAAATTTTCTAGTACTTGTAAGGTCTACGCGACAAATTTGTCATAAGTACAGAATGGTGGTACATTGTATTTGAAATTAAACTCCATACAGAAGTGTTAGGAATATTTTACAATGTGATTGTGTATAAAGTTACAGGAAATGAGAAAAGAATTTTTGTTAATGTGTTTAAAAATGAATATATTGTTTCCGTTGGAAGGGGTGGATGTGTTTACAAACATGAATTCCACATTCACACCACAACATCTAATCACACAAATAATTAATTCGTGTGAGAATCAGTGTGGTCTTGTGAAGGTATTTTAAATACATTAACATAAATACTTATTACTCTCCCGTTCTACTATTCGAATATTTTTATTGATTCTCGAATACAAGCAAGTAGTATTTTTTACTGGTTAAAGACTAGTCAGAGATGTATTTGATAGTAATCATTTACTACTAGCCTTTTAAGAATACATTTTTTTCTTATTACAATTTATGTGAACTATGTTTAATGCAGGCCTACAATGATTCAGTTATTGTAGCTGTGTGCACTATTATTCGGATCTGGTAAAACCATTGAAAAGGAATTCAGTCGCTATGTAAATTGTTGAGAAAATGTTGGTCACCATTAATTCAGGTTATTGACGCGCTCCTCTGCAGCGGATAAATAAGGTATACATTTATATATAATTAGTGTTTGTATATACAATGATGATGCGCTTTTATCAAAATGTCTGATACATTTTGTTTGGCACTGCACAGTTTCCAACTCCGATCACCACGCCGGACACCGAGCCCTGGAAATGGCTCGAGTAAGTTCAACAATCAAACATCTAACCGGCTAGTGTGTTAACAGGCTTACTCCATTTTAACGATGTTAACTGCTCCTGCGGTCTTAATGTTGCTATGTTTAGGTATTCTTATTAATTGACACTGGTACGCATGACAACACATTGTGTCATACAACCCACTCAACTTCTAAACCTGAATGCGTAACATGTCATTTACATAACACAGGGACACGCATATGTATATTATACAAGTTACTGAAGGTACTGCTACAAGTCATGACGACGATGACGACGAATGCATTCTGCTCCTTTCACTTATCTTTTAAATCATCGGTGTCAAACAGATGTGATAAATAGTATTTAAATAGAAAATAAATTAACATGGAAACTGTTAGATACATTATCAATTCCTTTTTTTAGAGCATTCCCATTATCATATTTATTTATAACATAATGGATTCGGCAGGTGAACACACTAGACCCATTGTATCAATTTGTTTGTTATCTTAGTGTTTGTACTTACGAAAAGGGGAAGCAGCCTCCTACAGCGCTTTCTCGATGTCTGCCTTATATACTAATGCTATACTTACACTCCGTGTGGCTGGTCTTGGCGTTGTCATGTTGCTTGTATAATGTTCCGCCGCTACTGCATGCATGTGTTGTGTTGTTCATACTGTTTGTCCCTTTCCATTCACATATTGTGTTTATCATAAAAATTAACATATATTTATAGCTTTAACTTGTAGAATAATATAAGTTGAATAACTTGGACCCTCAAATGGGAAGAAAGGAAGTATAATGAATGTGGTTTTTAATAAATTGTGTTTCAGATGTTAATATTGACAGTATTCCAAGTACTAAATATCTACTCTAATAAAAGTTGCACCTGTTGGTTATGATAGTGGTGAATACAATATTATTACTTCAGCATGTTTGTACCGGCCACCCTTACACCCTTTTATTTTGTCAATAATATGCTAATGTGTTCTCTAGGTCATGAGACTAGAGGCGTGGAAATCCCGGGCCTTGGGCCACCCGGAACTAAGCTGTGCTGTGTCTTTCGAAGATGATTTAGAGGAAGACGAGAAACTTAAATTAATCCTACGACGCGAATCTTCCACATCCTTTGACCTGTCCGCGATGTCAAGAAAACCTACGTAACGAATACTATACACGTTATTGTAATCATCAACTAGGTTTGTACACTTTTTGTCATCACACCATTGTTTTTGATTTCTTAGTATTCTTGTTCTTTGCTACCAGTAACATACAGGAACAGCTCACGCGACGTTCCTCTTTCGCATTCGCTTAAGCAACAGGGTTGTTTCTCGTCTCCAAATAATACAGTGGCTACCATTGACCGCGGGATTCTCAATTATATTATGTTTTACAGTAGTTGTGCTAGACATCTTTATACAATTTTTAATACATAGACAAAATAGCTGTAGATCTAAATACAATCAACAAAATAATCTAGACGGCTTAGACTCGTTAGTGTCCCTTTTACCGGTCTCCCGCTGCCAACTACGTTGTAAAGCATACGCTCAAAATAGTGGATGTACTTTTAGGCGAAGCTCAGGCTTATCTCAGCAAAAAGTATAGCCGTCATTTTGAAACTATGCACTAACATTGATGCACATTATTAGTAATAGTAAGAATAATTTAATATATGGTTGTAGTTGAGACATACAGGTAGGTAGATTTAATAAACACGTAGTTTTATTTTAGACTATTGATTATTGGGTAGAAAAATATTTCTTCTAGAAACACGTGGTTAACATCGGTAAAAATTAAAACATACTTTAACTAAGACACGTCATAATAACCTTCTCATAATATATGTATATCTAATGATAACATTCATAGCACTCCTTTTCTACCTAGCCTAGCAGACTCAATAATGATAACGACAAAAATATTCTCAAATTTGTCTTAAAATAGAATTATTTTAAAGTAATCTGACAAATTTCTGTCGCTATCATTGTCGACACTTCTGGGGGCGCGATCAGTTGTAGATACTGATTGCGTTAGCTTAGACCTTGTACCCAAAACAAGCAAACTTTTCAATTATTTTAATATTATTATTTCAAAAAGTAACCTTATAAAATAATAATGACACACAAATTGGTAACTTTGATCTCATATACCCTAATATGTGTTTAAAAGGTAATGGACTCGTTAGTTTTAGAGTTTTGGTACAAGATATGACTGACTAATCGAACAATCGTTTTATGCAGTCAAATATGTTGACTGCCTGCGGTTACTACGATGTAGTCCGTCTAATGGCAGCGTAAACTTTATGTAGCTCTGTAACAATTCTCTAATGAACGTTACCTTCCCAATCCAATTAATACTACCATGAGACATCAATAATTCCAGAAATACTACATTTATGAAATTATTGACGTCTCATTCAAAACTAAAGCATTTCTTAACCAACATTCCAACATTTAATTCTTATTTATTTATTAATGAACGTATTTAATGTGAGTAATGCGATAAATATCCTAGATTTATTTTCTATAATTTAGTTAGTATGTGGTTGAATAGATGAGTTCGGTGTTATTTTAGGTGATGAGACAGGGAAGGCACCCAAGTATTCTCGGCAATATTACGCGTACTTATTTTATTAATGCTTACTTATTTTAGGTTTTAAGAAGAAGTATTTTAAATAAATTCATAATATGTATTAATTTATTATTGTAAAATACTCAACATTTTGTTATACATTATGTTACATGTTAGGCTTCCGTGTGATGATTTATCCTTATACGGACAGAGGCTGCCTGATAAATAACTGTGTACATTAATTATAGTTATTTTGAAAAGTAGTTTGGCACAAGTCGCGAACGCTTAGGTATGTTTATAATAGTGGCACTTACACTTATTTTTCCACCCTTTTACAATTAATTTTATGTCAATAATATGAGTATTGAAGCTTCGTATGAGTAAGGAAATTTTATCAGATTAAGATGAACTCTGTGTTTTATGTCGTCGTGGTAGTATGTTAAGTGATGAAAGCAGCATTTTTAATCAAACAAAGCTAATGATGCATACTTACACGACATCTTAACATAGATGTTTATCTGCAAGTATTCTAATTTCAATTTGGTATGTATTACATACAAACCGTGTTTGAATGCGACCGGTATCAACTATACCATAGCAAATAATGTTAACGTTTTATTTTTATTTTTTGTTAAATTTATCAAATATCTAAGAGAAATATATTTTAATATTATGTCGAATTTTAATATTAAACCGCTATACTGCGCACGTTGTTCCAAATAATTCCTACTTAATAAATATTAGTAATTCTATTTGAGTTATCGTTATGAATGACATATTTTATGTGTTGCGTCATTTTATTTATTATTGATATTGTATTGGCAGCTATGACAATTTGCGTTTTCTGTATTATGTGGTTAGAAATAAACATTAGAAAATAATTTACACAGGTAGAACGACAATCACGTGTTAAGATTAAAAATGTATTTTATAATGATATTGTATTATCAATTCAGTCATATTTCAGTATCAATTAATAATCAGTAAGGTAATTATTTGAATCCATAATAAATTAAAATATACTAATACATTATAATATCCCGTAGTGTTAGGTCATACCGCAGTCAAATAAGACGCCTATCGAATCGAAAGCAATAAACGAAAACGAAAATTCCACAAATATCTATGTAGTGGTAGCGTACACCAACATTTTTTACTTTTATATACATACATACCTTTATATACATTCTTAAATAGTTATTATGTAGAAAATATAATTGCAGCTTTACGAGATTGTGTTTGCTCAATGTCTTTAATTGCTGTAACATTTCTTTTGTACATGAAAAATAGTTTCAATTTTAAAGGAAGAAATATAAAACGCCACAGTTAGAAGGTATCTTATGTTTGTTCCTTTAATATTAATAAACTATTCTTTACACAAATTCTTGTTAACTAATGGTCTCTGAAACAACTAGAGACTATCTACACAATATGTTGTATTACCAACAACTAATGAGGACAGAAATCCACAGCATACTAAATATGCTTTATTATGATCACTAATTTTTTACATTTTACTCGTGACTTTGTGTATTTTCATATTGTGTATTGGAAAATAAATTGATAATCTTGTATTCAATTTTTTATTACAAATAAAGACTTGTAACTCATTTATCGCTTTTCTTTTATTGATTCCCTGAATTGTGTAACGCGGAGCAGCCAGCAATGTCGCAAAGCACACATAATTACACACGAATTAGTTCGCCAAGCAAAAATAGCCAGCAATAGCAATACTTGGACTGTAATGTTGTTGATTTTTTATCCACGATTAATTATATAAAACTTGTTGCTTTAGACATCTCATTACAAACCAATACTTTTATTGAAATCAGAACATATGGCCTCGAAAATCAATAATGTTTCATATCATCGATGTAGAAAATAATAATGATTATATTTTAATAATCAAGGCATAAAAGTCGAAATAATTTATTTTTAGCCTACGAAACTACTTATTTTTTCAACATCTTACACTAAGGGATAGGGATAAATGACAAAGTACCTAGTTGTTAGTAAATTAATTTATTTCTCTATACTTAGTTAAGATACTTAGTTCAGATAAAGCACCGTTGATAACATTCTATCATTAATAAAGTTATTAATCTATAATCAGGCACGAACACGAATTGTTAATAAAATGTATAATAGTCAAATGTGATTGTTTTCAGGCTAGACTCTTGTACTTTGTGAACAGGTTGTACAGCACCCGAAGAGTCGATTTGAGGTCGAGATTCACAATATCTGCAAAGACAAACAATAAAGTTGTAAATAAAAAAACCATAAGACTTTCCACAAGTTGGTAAATAAAAACTTTTCTTACCTTCAGGCCTGGCTTTTGGTTTGGCAAGTCCAACATCTTGCATCAGTTCAAAGGCAAAGGAGACATTATGGACTTTCTGGTCAAAGTCTTCTGGAATCAGGTGGAAATCATACAAAGGCACGAAAAATCCTTCAAGCAGCCCCATCAGAAGGCACAGGTATACACCATCATGAAATTGGGTGTCCAAGTCCATCACTTCAAGGTTAACTTTGCTCAAGTGTTTGTTTACAAAAGTTATCAGTGACTTCTTCACCACCTGCAGCTTGTCAGGTGCATGATCAAACAGAGCGTCAAATGCGTCTCTTTCACATTTCATGCCCAGGTCATCATAAGTTGTTGTAATAGTTTCAACAAATGTTCTGAAAATTGTTTTCAAATTAATAAACAATACTTTTCTATAAATAGTTTTATAGCCACTCAATAGGTTACATATTATTATGTTAGCAACATGTATGGTTTACCTGTGAGATAATTGGTTAGGTGTGTCCTTCTTAACCACAACAACATTGACACTAACATTTTCAGGCAGACGCACTGGAGCTCGGTAGTGACGAGCCAGAGCAACAAGTAAATGCAAGATGGATACAACATTCTTTGAGTGAATGGAATCCACACTCCATTTTGGCACAGGTTTGGCCGTCCCATACAAAACCTGGAGAAATACGAGAAAAATATTTGAAACTGAAGTATTTAACTACATAAATAAAACTAATAATAGCATTGTTATGACAATGCTTCTTACCCGATTTACTGCTCTGAGTACCACTGCCAACTTCTGCCTCTGTCCCTCTTCAGACTGTGTTACCTCAGGCACATCCAGTTTTGTTTTTGTCAACATCTCCAGGAGTTTTTGAAGTACTTGACCATCATATAAATCTTCACTAATATCCTTGACGATAATTCTCTGGGTGGCAAGCTCATCATTGATCCAATCAATAAGTACTTGGATAAGTTCTTTGACTCTTGGGTCTTCAAGTGACCTTGGCTCAATTATAGCTCTTTCTTCATTGTCATCTGCAAAACATAACAGAGAAGGTAATTTACAGATATGTTTGACAAACAGTTAGTTACTACAATTTTTCCTGTTTGTTACAATGGTAGCTATTCAGGATAAACTAAACAGGACACGCCTATGTGAGTCATGGCGTCAAATATTCAAGTGCTGCAGTGTTTTTGTGTTTTGTTTTAAAAACAAGGGTCAAGTTCCATAGAATCCTAGTTTGTAGCTCACTAATGGATGAGTCATAAGTTCCTATTTATAGTAAGATCATCATAGTGTTTGAGCAAGCAGGTTATTTTATTGAGATTATTAGCACTATTACTCATGTTACTTACGTAGACTGTATTCTTCAGGTGGTATCTCTGGAGCAGTTGGGCTGCCCGGAGAATCAATTGCATACTTTCCCTCAGCCTGTACATCTTGCACTGTGTAGAACAATCATAAATGTGAATAATAGAACATAATTATAGAAGTAGATAATTTAAGTATTTAAATAAATCTTAATGCAACATAGGTTGAGCCATTCTCACCCGTCAACTTTTGGGTACCTGGTTAATGATTATTTATATAATATAGTTTAAATGATTAAAAAATTACTACTGTTACTATTTATTTGTTTATAAAATTACTCCCATGTATTTAAAAAATATATTTATACTAAAACATAAAAAAAATTAATAAACAAATAAAAATTTAATATTTAAAACAATATAGTACTAAAAATTTTCACAAAAATAAACAAACTATTACTTGCAGACACTCAAAAATGGCAAAAACCTGTTACGAAAATAATTTTCATATGGTTTAGTACAAAAGAAGGAAGATACAAAATTATAAGCCCACACAAGACTAATGAGCATTCCTAAGGTTTCACAACAACACTAATCATTTACCTTCTTTTATGCGCTTCTTACGTCCTATGGTGCCGATTTTGTCCCAAAATGATTCTTCTTTATCTTCCTTTTTAGGCAAAACGGGAGTCCGAGGAGATTTCGGGCGTGGTGACGACATCTCTCACTGCCTACCTATTAAAAATAAGGTCACAACCAATCAACACCTGACCACTAATTTCATTAAAACTCTCATTATTTTCTCTTCTTTATAAGTATACTGCCAGTTACACTATTTTTGTAAGAATTAGATACGAAAATTAAGTCCTAAAGCTTACACACCTTTTATTTTTAACTCTGATGGAAGGAAAACAAGAGTCAAAAGCAAAACCCCAACATGAATACTGTCTGTGAAGACAGTAGACATTCTGCAAAAAGTACTACAGAAAACAGAATCCATAGACAAGCTTATTTGAATATTCAATCAGTCCAATCGCATTTGTTGTAAGATTTTGCAACGCGTAAATTGGTCAGTGAAAACGAATATCATTAACGCTTATTGAGTTTCCTCACAAAGAGCCATCCTTGCACTTACATAGGTAATAGAACTATCACAATAATGAGCCGAAAGTCGAAAAAAAGTTATCAAAATGATTTGATTGTGGAGAGTGCATGCATGACAAGTGTCAACAGTGCAAGCATACAGTACTGTGACGACTACGTCTCTCGTCAAACTAAAATGACCAGATTGAGCTATAACCATGTAGCCATGGTATATTGTGTATTATAACGAGCACAGACGTGTGAATCGGGGGCAGACTAAGAATTATTTGCAATACACATACAATGCATGCCGTTATCGTCGTCGCCGTCGAAGTCGTTCCCTCATGGATTAGGGATCGTGGCCATCATTAGTCTCTATCGGCATTGAAGTTGGGCCGGGATAATTTCCTCCAGGTGCTCCTATCATCAGCAGTGTTGCAATCGAGATTGAGTTTGGTCACACCATCTTACATGAACATGGCGCATTTATCTTTTACCCTCTACTTTACACATTATTGTGTGTTTTTCCATTGCCGTTATACGAATACAACATTGTTGCAATGTAAAATGTTTCATTGTTTTATTTAATTTGCTATATACAGAAGCTGCTGGTGTACCTTTTTTAAATAAATAAAATATCATTAAAAACGAATCAGTTACTTATTCTAAATAAATATCCTATTCTACAGTTCACTTCCGTAATTTTCTTTTTATTGATATCCATAATAATTCTCTATCCTTGTCCTGCCAAATAACAACTTTATAATAGCGTCTTATCAATCACGTTTTTTTATGGAATAGGGAGCAAAATAGGAGACGGATCACCTGATAGTAAGCGATCGGCGCCACCACCCATTGATACCCGCAGCACCACTGGAGTCACAGGTGCGTTGCCGGCCTTTTATGAAGGAGTACGCTCGTTTCTTGAAGGTTTGAAGTTCATTCTTTTCAATAATCGCCACCCACACAATCCCATGTAAACACAAATTTGAGATACTATGCAGCCAATTTTACTACATCACTGATAAGCTTTTTAGCTTGAAAACCATTAAATATTTTACTTTCATACTTAAACATTATAACCGTAAAAAAATATTTCGTTTTTTCAAAATAAATCAACTGTATCGAAAATGTAGAATAGTTTTTTATCGTTGCTTACCAAACTGACATGTTTTTCTTTTGTGTTTGTGAATGTTTAAAGTTGCGGCAAAATGAATATATAATAATATTTATTTATTTAAATTATGCATCACCAAACAAAATAATATTCTAAAATGACTAATAATTGCGGAATAGTGAAAAGTCTATGGTACCCAAACACATTGTCATTGTGTCACTTTACCACTGTGTCAAGTGAATACCAAAGAGCATATTACTGGTGAATACATACACAACTTGTTGATAACTAAGTGTAACTAATACGACTAGAATTTAAAAGTTCCTCCCTCCATTATTCAGCAGTGCAAGTATTGATTTTTCATCTAGGTGTGACGACGTGGGTTATTTATCTATCTATTAAAACGACCTGATTCAAGAAAAGCTCACGCTTCTTGTGTTATATAGGTTGGTGGAGTCATACCTAAAAATAGCTTCAAGATTATATTGCATCACAGTGACCGATTGTGAGGGGAACTTATTAAAAGTTTACCTAAGTGTTTACTAAAAAATTCGCAGAAGTCACGATGGAAAAAAGTTGGAATCCTCCTCCGTATGGCTGGGCTAACGCGCATACAACGCAGCCACCACCAGCTGCGCCCCCGAGCTACTCTCAAGCTGTTGGAGGTGTTGGTCCTTCGAGCCCTTATACTCCTCAGTATCCTCCATGTAAGTTACAATATAAATTACATTACAATTTATTTTTATCAATCTAATTTGTTTATTTCAAACTGTAACTTACATTGTCAATACTTACATTGTTTCTGGAACACTGCAGGCATTATACTAAATAAGTATTATTTGTAACCCTAATATGGCCTAAAAAATTTATACATTACCTTACATTTTTATTGTGCTTTCATAACTAGTGTTGTGTACCATTTATTAAATGAATGTATGTTATTGATATCAAGGTTAAATTTGCCATTGTTTAATCTGCCTTTGTTTTGTGTACAAATAAGAATAATAAACAAGATTATTATAGTTATTGATGAGGATTGAGAATTGACATTTAAAAATATCAAGTTGAACAAGAAATTTAGTAGGACTATAGAGATAAGTTGTGAAGGCATAATGTTGATAGTTGACATTGATAATAGTATTATTCTATACTGCAATAAACATATGTTAATTATGTTTTATGGACACAACCTTGTAGCTAAATCATCAAAGGTCACTTCCTAGTAACATTTAGTGGGTTGATGATGGTGTTTTAATACAATTAGCATCCATTTTGCTTGCTCTGAAACATTTCTGCATCAACTAAGAAAATTTTATGATTTTCCATCCTTAAAATACATAGACACTAGATTTGTATTTTGAAGTCAAAGTTTCTTCGCAATATTATAACTTGTAATGTCCAAGTGAAACTTAAAAGGTGTCAAAAATGGAGAAATATCATCTTAGTAGTAATGATAAGTAAGCATTGCAGGTACTTGCATTTTTTATATGCATTTGCTATTTTTAATAATTTGGCTTTGCTATATTCTCCTTACTTTGTTGCTCTGCGATATTATTATCTTTCCTAAGGTATTATGTCAAAAAAAAAAAAGTCAAAAATCATTTATTTCAATTAGACCACAGTAGGCACTTTTGAACGTCAAGCAAGCAAAAAAGGAAGCAAAAAAGGCTGGCTATGGCTGGGCGAAAACAAGCATATTGGCACCAGTTACATTGAATCATCACCGATCTTGTTATTCAGTTGTATTAAGTACTTTTATTTTGTTTTTTAAATTTGTATTGTTTTTCTTGTATTTAATCCTAATTTTTTTTAAGTACCTAGATAATAATATTTATATAAAATTAACAATACAACATAATGGCGTAAGCTGTAATGTTGTATATGTAAATATTCTTAATAAATAAATAAATAAATTGAAGATTCAGAAACAGAAAAATTTGTGTCATGAAAATTAAAATGCACATGTCACAATTAAGCTTAAGTGACAATAGTTCAATAGTTAAAGCTAGAGGTTATTTCATTTAAGTTGTAAGCTTAAATCAAATAACCTCTAGCTTTAACTAAAAGTATGACTACATACTACATTTTGTTCAAATGATCACTGAGCCTTGACCTGATACTCAATGCCACAGAATCGGGCTAAACATCACCTACCTCATACATGACTCATACTTTTGAGTTATATTTGTTATGGACTATTTCAAGAAAAAAATTATGAAAGAAATATTTTCACTAGTATTGTTTTGATAATAAATTCAGTATCACAACAATCTTTACAAATTCCTTTGTGTTTAGTCTCACTGCTTTGCTAAAAATTTGTGAAGGTTACAATAAGCTATATGAATTTGTAAAAGGCATGCTATTTCACGCTTATGCTCGCAAGTTGCAACCTCCAGCTTGCTCCCACGTATGAATATTAAATATTAGATATTTTGTGGTTTAGTGAGATCATTCAACTGTAAGCAGTATTGATAGAAAATAGAATATGTATGACACAGGGTTATCCAGAATTCCTTTGTTTCAACAGCATTACGAATAGTAACTGTTATTCTTGTTTTTGTTAAACAACTTATGGTTGGCATTATAAATTATTCTATTATTTTACTCCTTTTTGTGTAACATGTACCTACATGAAGTTACTGTGATCAAATTGAATCAGTAGACGTAGACTTTTTATAGTACAACTTTTTCTTGTGAATGGTATTTTAATCTTAATCCAATAAACATGGTGTGTAATAGTGATGGGTATCTTTTCCATAAAAATTGTAATGCATAAATATGTCCTTTATGAACATTTTAATTGTCAATAATACTGTTGCAGGATGGTGTTTCTAATTACATACACTAATTAATTATTTGTCTGTTACAGCTTCAGGACCTTCGATAGTGACGACGGTGGTGCCTGTTGGTCCTCATCCAACTCACATGATCTGCCCCAGCTGCCATGCTGAGATAGATACAGCTACTCAGACAAAGCCAGGCCTAATTGCTTATATATCTGGAGCCATAATTTGTCTTGTGGGGTAAGTTAATAGAATATTGTGTTTTAAATAGGCATTGTGCATTTGATATAGAATTTTGAAAGGTATATAAAATAAGGAAATAATAAATATTTATTAAATTAATTTAGGATAGATAAGAACATAACAGAACCTTCTAAACTGTGTTATTTGTTTCAGATGCTTCTTCGGATGTTGTCTCATTCCATGCTGCATTGACAGCTGCATGGATGTGCATCATAAATGCCCGCATTGTGGAGCTTACCTTGGCCGCTACCGACGATAAACATAATCGTTTCAACGACGAAAATAATTACGTAATTGAAAAACGAAACATTGAAGATCTGCATGGGAAATCTCCATTTACTTAAAACCCTGCCTATCTTGATTTAGCTTTACAAAAAAAAAATACAAAGTAAAATAATCTTCTATAGATTATTTTATCACATGAAAGAAATCTCATAAAAGTTTTCCCTTTTGTTTTAGATAGTTGCATTACTTATTTTAAGTATCAGTAATTTATTTTTGTCCCTAGTCAAAGGGTTTGTATGCCAGCCATAGTAGGAGTCAATTATTATTGATTGATGTGTCCAGCTGTAGGTACTGTTGTCCAATTTTACGTGCAGCTCATCCTGGCTCTTCGACACTTGCGATAGAGTCGAGGGATTTGACCTAAATGTCTGTCAATTTCGTGACTGCTTTCCATTTTGTTCAGAAAAGGTAGTAACATAATGTTACAAAATGATTCTTCGGATGACATTCTAGCGAAAAACCTCAATTGGTTGAAGCCGGACTTAGAGGAAGATTAGTCTCATGTTTATTTGAAATGCGTTTTTATATACATACATAGTTCAATGCAGTACAAAACACAATTTTTACTTGTTGACTTATTTAATGAGATAATTTATGAGTTGATTCGTTTTAACGTGTTTTTAATATTTAAGAGTAAGCCATAGTGCGCATTTATGTATTAAGTGGTTTTATTCAGTGCCAAAATGGTCTTCCTCATGGCCCGTCGACTTATCGCTCGTATCACATGATTTTAATAGATATTCTAAATGTTTAGTGAGTAGAGTACCACATGATGCGTATTATTGTATGTATGATATGGTATGTGTAGAATGGTAAATTATTACAATAAGGTCCTGTTTCACAATGTTAATGTAAGTTTTACTACTGGGAAATTTGATTAATTTTCTCAATATTTCAATGTGTCAATCTAGCTAAAAAAACTTAATCGGACGTTGTGAAACAGGCCTTGAATATTTCTATTGACGTCATTGCATAGCATCACAATTTGTCCTTTAAAAATATAAAATTTGGCTATATGTGTTTATGTTATGTAAATCCATAGTAGGCCTTGGAGAAATTACTCAATATGTAAAATAATATACTAAATGTATGGAAGCTACTTAAATGTGTTGGATATAATTTCACAGTATTAAACATGTGTTCTGTTTCACTCCACAAATGTTATGTAATCTCACCTGTTTTTGGTTAGTCTAGCTAATGGCTTAGTAGTAGCTTCTTAGTTATGATCGTTACAATCTACTTTCCAGTTAATACTCTAATTTTTATGATGACATATATAATTTTCACAGCATAATAAGTGTACATTATTTTACATAATGTTATTGATATAATGAGTAACTGTGTGTATCTTACATATTTGGTTAAGGAAAACATTGTTACCAACCTTTTAATTAATTTAGTTTTAATTTAGTGAGTTAAGCTAATTTTATTAATTTAATATTATAATTTACAGCATAATAGGAAATATTTAGAGACATAGGTTGTCAGTGATTAATTTATATTTCACAATAACTCAACACTTTTTGGCCTAACAAGAAGCTTTCATTGGTTTAAATCTAAATACATGTAAAATATAATAAATTGTTGTTGAGCTTGATATTAACCAATCAAAATGCCAAGTTATTTTAAAAAATCTTTTACTGCCGGCAGCATTTAGCCATGTATCTTGGCGTCATATAGTTTAATGAAATGAGCCATTATTGATTTCCATTTTACATGATCTATTTTAGATGAGCATAATATAAATAATGAAGTAACGACCATTATTGGTATCTAACGAATTCGGAAATACCATTTACAAAATTAGATATCTACTTCTATCAAATAAAATATATAAATATTTTAATAAAATAATTTCTGAATACAGGCATTTTACAATTTTATATAAATTTATATATATAAAAATTTACATGCTTTAATCTATTTTCTTACTACTTACCAGAAAAATATATAATGTACCTACCTATTATTTTTTTCTATGTATATTATACAATTAAAAATGAAATAGATTTATGGACTGTCTTAACGAAAATAAAGGTTTTATTAATGTCGTAAATGTAGCTTTTTAATCAAGATCTACGGAACAATTTGGACATCACCCGATGGTGAGCAATCACCACTGTGGACGCAACTTGGAACGCAACAATGCAAGTCACCGCAAATGTGGGAGAGTCATGCTTCGGCTATGATACCACGCCCTCACAGAAAACCGGCGTAAAATAACCACAGCGTTGTGTTGCACCTTGTGAATGAGGTTACCGCACAATCCTTCCACTCCCCAATCCCCTGGTCCCGGAAAGGTCGTAACGCACTCGTAACTCCTGTGTTGTTGCAGGTGTCCATGAGCGGCGCTGATTGCTTACCTTCAGATGATCCGTCCGATCATATAAAAATAACATCAAAGGCATTTTTATGTGTGTTTTGAAAAAGTCTACAAGCACGGGCGAAGTATAAGTAATATTTTCAGATATTTACCGTAATCAAAAAGTGGAACATTAATCACCTACTTACGTAGGTACCTACAACCCGTTTTTTGTACCATACGTCTTCGAATTATATACCTACTAGCGGCCCACCCCCGCTTCGCACGGGTCCAACTATCTCGCTAACAATGAAAGGGTCCCTTTTCCCCAATTCTCCCCTCTACTTTTCTAATATTTTCTTTCATAAGAACCTCCTCCTGATAATAACAAACACAACAAAAAAAGAATTAGCAAGATTGGTCCAGGCGTTGTTGAGTTATGCGCTTACCAACACATTTTGCTATCCATTTTTATATATAAGATTATAGGGGATTACTAAAACAAGCAGGCACAACGATTAGTGTTTGATCCCGAATAATGGTACTATAATAAGGGTTGAAAAGTTTGTAACTTAAAACATAATTTACTTTAAAATCTCAACGTAGGTGACAAATACCCAGGAAAAAATGAAGTGATGTATTTTATTATTTACCCTAATAAAAGCGCGCGCCATGACATATATAGTACCTATTAGAAAATAAAACTGCTTTACTCTTTGTAAAACTGTTATTTTAGGCTGTCCATAGACAACATTTTTATTCTTTACAGTCAATCCAACTGTCAAATACGCCTGCCTAATGAGTGTCAGACGGACATCGCACGGTGATCGGTCGTTTGCCCGTAGTTGAAGACAGAATAATTTTATAAAAAGAAAATTAGGTTTTTGATTATTCTTTACTGAATTAAAAAACTTGCCTTAGGCCAACATGTCGTGGTTATTTGGGTACAGTTCTACACCTCCACCACCCTCTGATGTTCCACCTGCAGATTCTGGAGGGTCTGCCGCACCCCCAGCTAACCTAACCAAATCTGAAAAGAAAGCAATGGAGGCCTATCGTTTTGATTCTAGTGCTTTAGAAAGAGCTGCTCAAGCAGCTAGAGAACTAGAACGCTCAAGTAAGTACATAAAGTATGTTATTATCAATCACATTGCGCGCTATTGCATAATGCGACCGCATAACCTTACAGACTGCGAGCGAGGCCTACTTTTAATTAAAAATTGTATTAAACTGATCTTATCATGATTCTGAATGTCACAAATGAAAAATAAACTATAATATTGGCTCCTTATTCTAGCTGTGATCATCTAATACTGAATGAGTTCAGTGCCTACATAGGTTAGGTTGTAAAGATCTGTACATATGATTCGTTCATTATATGCACCATATTTTTAATGATTTGATTTATTCAAAGAAACTAACATTCAGTAAACAGTTTATTCTGGTGTAATAGAATCAAATGTTGACACAATCTTATGAGTATCTAATAAGAAAAATAGTTCACAAATTATTAATATTACATATTATAATATTACAAATTAAATAATTAGTGTTTAGAAAAAAAATGCTCTTCCTATCATCTTCTTAATTGCAGTAAAACCCAGAGTACACATGTAGATAATATAGACATCAGCATACATAGATAAGAGTAAAATCTTTTTTAATAGGTTGTATGAAAACAATGTAAATTCTGTGATATTTATTTTGAAATATTTTTTTAGAAATACTTATAAATAATAAAGTGAAATTCCCTTGTTTAACTTTTGCACTTGTAAGTGATTCCTATTTCCTTGATAAACTATTATATATTATGTTTGTATGTGTTATTCTCAAAATATCTCAAAAATGGCTAAGAAAAGAGTCTAATACCATAAATATGTATTAGACAAATTTAATTATTTTGTTTGCTATGTTTGAACAGAGCATTCAAAAGAAGCCTTGGAGCTAAGTAAGCTCCAGGAAAGTACCAAACAAACAGAACAAATGGCTAAAATAAAGGAATATGAAGCTGCCATAGAACAAGCCAAAGTTGAACAGAAGAGAATTGATTATGAGGAGCGCAGAAAGACATTGCAGGTTTGTATGTCATAACTTTGATGATAAAAGTAAAAACTATTATAGATTTAGCTTGCATTGATTGGTTTGAAAATAATTCTGTTGTCATTGTTTAGGAGGAAACCAAACAACACCAAATGAGAGCCCAGTATCAAGATCAGTTGGCTAAAAAAAGATATGAAGAGCAACTTGTACAACAGCAAAAGTCACAAGATGAGATTCTAAGAAAGTATGTAAACAATCCAAGTTTTTCTATTATTTAATATTTGAGCTCTGATTACTTACCTGTATGATTTAATTTTAGACAAGAAGAGAGTGTAGCCAAGCAGGAGGCATTACGGCGTGCTACTATTGAACATGAAATGGAATTACGAGAGAAGAACAAACTCAAGGCCATTGAGGCAGAAGCTCGGGCTAAAGCTAAAGCTGATCGTGAAAACCGTGACATCACATTAGAACAAATAAGATTAAAGGCAGCTGAAAACAGAACTACTATTCTAGAAAGTATCAAGTAAGTATACTTATTCAAAACAAAGGAATAATGTCTTATAAGAAACCCATTAATGATTTTCGGTTTTGTTGTACAACAGGACAGCTGGGAGTGTTGTTGGCACCGGTCTGAATGCCCTCGTCACTGATTGGGATAAAACTCTAGCTGCTGCTGGAGGGTTGTCACTTCTGGCTCTTGGTGTGTACTCAGCTAAAGGGGCAACATCAGTAGCTGCAAGGTTCATTGAAGCACGCATTGGTAAATTTTATTTCTTCTCATATTTATTTAATAAATAAAATCTGAATAAGAAAATATAATACTCAATTGTTTTTGTTTGGCAGGCAAACCCACCCTTGTAAATGAAACATCTAGATTTTCTTTACTGGAAGCTGTAAAACATCCCATACTCACTGTTTCTAAAGCAATTCAAAGTTTCAAAAAGCCATCAGATGCTTTAGCTGGAGTAGTCCTAGCCCCAACTCTTGAGCGACGACTTCGAGACATTGCTATTGCAACTAAAAATACGCGTTTGAACAAGGGATTTTATAGAAATCTGCTCATGTATGGACCTCCTGGTACTGGTAAAACTTTGTTCTCGAAGGTTAGTATGATGTAATTTAATTGCTTGTGCAAGTTTTCCATAATGCAATAAGACTTTTTCTTTATTTTGTTATTTATCCTTATGCTAAGAGTTAAATATATGGCTTCAGAAACTGGCAAAACATTCAGGCATGGAGTATGCTATACTCACTGGTGGCGATGTTGCGCCCATGGGAAAGGATGCTGTTGCAGCTATTCATAAAGTATTTGATTGGGCTAATACAAGCAAAAAAGGTAAGTTTGAAAACTAAAGCAAAAGATATGAGTAAAATGTAGCTGATTTATGTGTGAAATAAAATTCATTCATTTATATAAATTTATAAATTTTAGGAGTACTTCTCTTCATTGATGAAGCTGACGCATTTTTGAGAAAGCGTTCCTCTGAAAGAATTAGTGAAGATTTGAGAGCAGCCCTCAATGCATTCCTGTACCGGACATCTGACCAGAGCAATCGGATTATGTTGGTGCTAGCCTCAAACACGCCTCAGCAATTCGATTCTGCGATTAATGACCGTCTCGACAAGATGATTGAATTCGGTCTGCCTGGTCTTGAAGAGCGCGAACGTTTGATTCGTCTTTACTTTGATACCTTTGTGCTTAAGCCTGCATCAGAAGGAAAGCGGTGTGTAACCAAAGCTATTAAATGTAATAGTATTTAAATAATAATGGTTCTCGTAATTATAACTTATTAATGAATATTTTACAGGCGACTTAGCGTGGACCAGTTCGACTACAGTGCTTTATGTTCGACCCTGGCCGCCCGGACAGCTGGTATGTCTGGCCGAGCACTCTCTAAGCTGGGTGTTGCATGGCAAGCGGCCGCTTACGCCTCTGACGATGGACGCCTTACTGAGCAAATGTGTATTGATATATGCGATGATGCTGTTCGAGATCACCGTCAAAAGGTAGGTTACAGTAGCAATGCATCAGTGTCAGTTTGTTTCTTTAGTAATTATTAAGTTACTAAAAATATATTTGATGCTAAAACTTGAAGAGTTTTTGCTTCTATTTTTTTTGACACATACATTTTCATTTTTCTTTATAGATGGAGTGGCTATCATCTGAAGAGAAGTCACGAAGTATGATGCCTTATCTTTTGGACTTGCCTCCTTTAGATGTACAACAGAATGAAACGGTTCAGATTGCTAGCAAGAAGGATACAGTAAATATGGATACAAATGAATCCAAAAATGCACAAAAGAAGAAAGCGGCAGATATTGAATTAGAAAAGTGACACAGTGTTAAATCTACTACCAAGGCAGATGTAGCTGTAAACAACTTAATATGTTCCAGTTCCACACAAAATATTACTAGCTGTGATACAATTCAAAAGTTTAAATACAATTGTAAAAGGTCTGAATTCAAAAAATTCATTGAATTGAATGATCAGGATATGGAAATTTTGCGGAAATTATCTCAAAAAAAGGAAGTTGTCATAAGACGAGGGTGTCTTGGAAATAATAGTAAATAAAGTTAATAATATATGGTTTTATTGACAAATACCTTGTTTAAAAGGTGTTGGGATGCATTCAAAGTATGAAATTAATGTTTCACACATCAACAACAAGTCAATGTTGTGTCCCAAAATTACAGTTATACTATTTTAAAGGCCTGTATTACCATCTTCATATAATTAATGCCCAATAAATTTATGTAGCAGATAGTCAAATAATGATTATCAATTATATAAAATGGTACATAGTTGATACTTTATGAAACAGGCTTTAAATGTTTGGGGTACCACACATCTTTTTCATTCACTATTTCTTAATAAATATGCCTAAGTATGTGTGTGCAAAGTTGAATAAAATAAATTGGTACAAAAGTAGACTAAATATATTTAAGCTTTCTATTCAAAAGGCGTATGTTGTAAGTCAGCTATAAAAATTGCATTTTAGGTCGTTAATCTAATTCATTTATAATTTTATCGGAATTTTTGAACTTGATAATGTTCAAGATGTGTGAAAGTTCAATTTTTCTGCAAATATGTAGATGCTACATATACCTACAAATAAATTGTAATGAAATAAGCATTTATTTTGGAGTTTTATCTATTGGGAGTATATAGTTCGAGTTCACAGTGGAATAGTTTTGTACATGGGAAATAAGACATTTCAATCGGCAAATCCATAAAATCTTTATTACAGTGAATTTTTACACACAACATAACTTTTATGCAGTGTCCTTTAATTTTCAGATACAATATGTTATATTTCAGAGAAGTCTTCGAATAATGATGATGTAACTCGTTAGTTTTGCTATTTAGATAGTTTGTTGTTATCATTTTAGTTGTGGTTACACTAGTAGTGCATATTAGAATATTGTTAACAAAAATTTTGTTTTATTTGATGACTCCTTCCTTTACGTGACATGTGCAATATAAATCTATATCAGTGAATGACCCTGCCTCGTGAATGTCGCAATATACCAAGTAAGTCAGGTCAATGCAATTACAAGATCTTTCATTATCTGTTTAGCTGGTACTATAACACATCACAATAATATGTATGACTGCTGCATTTGTTATCGGAAAGGAAATTATGAAAATCACAGTTTGAACATCTTAGAGCAGTAAAGATATTGATTTCATTGAACTTGAAATCAATGTTAGAATAGACAATATATGTCATACTAGGTATATTCAACATTGGAACAATTTTAATAACCTGGCACAATAGAATTTCACCATGCCCTTATCATAAGAAAGACATACATTACATATTACACTTATATTAAAATACTAGAAATAATATTAGTCTCCACAAATATATAAATCATTATTAAAGCAGTTGTTTGTTCAATAAAACTTACTCAATTGCAATTCCTAAGTTGTACAGTATAAATTAAAGATACATAGTAATACACTCACCAACCTATCCAATCTATGAAAATATTGTATTGTTTAGAGTGAAGTTTTTGGTTTATTTACTTTGTTTGCCTAACAGGTTGGCAGGTAAAACTTAGGATGTCCATCAAAATGAACATCTCTAGTTTATTACTATGCAATATTTGATATAATATACTTCTCAACTATCAAACAGATTGATGAAGATCTTTCATTAATGTATCTTAGACCATTTATAAAGATAAAAATAAATATTAAGAATTTGCCTTGAACTTAGTTTAACAACATTTAGACTATAAATACATCTCAAAATGGAATAAAAGTACAATAATGAATAGATTAATATTATTAATCTTATTAAGACTTACAATAACATTGAAAGTGGCTATGTCACTGTTTCCTCAACTAAGCAACATTGGTTTCAGCAACAAAATAAAACATGCGTTTTGCTAGCTTACAAATTCATGTGTTAAAACTTAAATAATATAAAATAAGAATACATTTCATTATCATTTACCAATAATTTTGGTATATGCACCATTATTTATATTTTTAATAATAAAATTTCATAAATACAAAAAAAGTTGTAGCTACCATTTAAAGATTTAAAACTAAAACAAGTTTTGTAACCAAAATCTATGATAGTTTGCAAATAATATATTACATTTTTACAAGTATTCAGCAAGTTAGATACGCAAATGACTACTGGAGACATGTTGTTATTATGTCTGTGTGCCTTGCTTTATGTTGCATGAGTGTAGACGATTTTAGTTGCTCCGATTACCTGAGCAACAAGAAGATTGAGTCGGTGGTGCCTCATCATCAACTACCACCACTTGCGAAGTTCGGTTTACATCTGTTTGAGCATTTTGCTCATACCTCTCAATCATAGTTCTGGTAAGATCAAGGAAGAGTTCCTCAACACCTTGGTTCAATTTGGCTGAAGTGTAGAAATGTTGAGCACCAACCATATTGGCATAGCTGAAATACAAGTCGTAATTAATTTAGTTTAGTTAAGTCCTTCCATATTCACATTTACCCATTAACAATCACTTGTGTGTTAGCTCTCTGTACACAAATGTCATAGCTTTATTAGAAATCGAATAGTAACAATTTAGACTATACCTCTCTGCTTCTTCAAGCGGTACTGTCCGTTCATGTTCAAGGTCAATTTTATTGCCAGCTATTGTCAGAACTATATCAGATCCCAACATCTTTTTCAGTTCCTTAACCCAGTTTTTCACCTGTAAAAATATTTTGTGTATTTTTAGTAAAAGCAGAGATCTATAGTATTCTAATAACATTAAAATAGTGTGCTATTGGAATAAATTCTAACTATGTCACATCATCACATCATACTTTTTTTTATTTAGATTTAGTCATAAAAGACAAACATTAGAACTTTAATCTGGTTTATGTTTATAAATTGCAAAATTCCTTCTTGTTATGGGATATTAAAATGGCAACTTTATAAATTATGTTTATAATGAATTATTATTATGATAAAGACAGGATTAAACAAAGTGCCAAAGCCAAAAAGATACTCTAAAAATGGCTAAAAAGATGTACAAAAATGATTGTCAAGAGTAAAACTGAAATCACAGTCAGCACTTCAGAAGACTTTGTTTGGCATGGGTTTGCCACTTTATTATTATATTACTTTCTAGTCCACACAAAGGTCAAAAAATTTAATTATGAATTGACATTACAATTAGATTCCAAAGACTGCAACAATTCAAAGTTAACATATAAAGATGTTAACTAACCTATATAACATAATAAATTACCTTTCCAAATGAATCTTCATCTGTGATATCATATACCAAGATAGCCCCATTAGAATTCCTGTAGTAAATAGGACCTAAAGCATGGAACTTTTCTTGACCTGCAGTATCCCAAATGGAAAGGTTTACACGCTTGCCATTAATATTTAATCTCTTGTTTAAAAATGTGGCCTGTAATAAGGAACATTTGTTAATCAGGAGAAACATGTGATGTTTATTAGGTTACATCACATTCCTCATCTAATGAAGTAATATATTTTAAAACAAAGGAGAGAGGCCTTAATTTTTTTATAGTAAGTCATAAATAGTACTGCTGTTTGTTAACCTTTGGTAGAAACATAAAGTTGGATTTTTTTATGATAATTAATTAACTGAATAACAACATGAAACATTTTGCATCTACCTACCTGCAGTGTAGTAAGATGTTTATCGTTGAATTTATCTTCTATATAACGCAACAGTAGAGAAGTTTTTCCAACACATCCCTCGCCCAGTAAAACAACTTTGAAGTTGTGAGTACCGCTCGGCGCGGTAGCCATTATACTTATAGATTCTTGGAACCTTCAAACTTAAGCTGAAGCAAATTAAATTTGTAGTAGTTAAGATATACGTAATCGTGACAAACAAAGAGCAGATTGGCTATTTCACACCACTAACAACCACAAAAGCGTTTGCGAGTTACATATATCAAAGTATTGATATGTACCACTTGTTAATTAATAGTAAAAATCGAAGAACTTTCCAGTTTACAGAATACAAATCGCAATTATTTTTCAACAAGCCTCTAATGTCAGTTCATGAAATTGACAATTGGATTAAGTACGTCAAAGTAGGTAAGACGGATCACAGATTATTACAGATCAAAGGTATTACACACCAACGGATGAAATAGTAGATCACAACCATAGACAACCTACATTAAAGGGGACGTATTACGAGTCTTTTGAATTACTAAAGGGTTGTTGAAACCCAACGCTTTTGTTTTAATCAATTATGGCCGGTTATTAGTCAAAGCCTCGCGACGTGTTGGACCCATGGTTAAGGCGGTCACTTCTCATGCATGAGAGTGTGGGTTCGAAACCTGGCAAGTACCAATGTGACTTTTCCAAGTTATATGTACTATATGTCTATGGTTATTTAGACACCACAGTGACGGTGAAGGTAAACATCGTGAGAAAACCTGGACTTATAATTTCTTATTATAAGTTTGAAACCGCCAACTCGCATTGAGCAAGCATGGTGATTAATTCTCAAACCTTCTCCTTGTGAGAAGAGGCCTTTGCTCAGCAGTGGGCACTTATAGGCTGATGATGTATGATGATGTGTGGTATCGTGCCGGTCAAGCAGGCCCATTCATCTCGAAGCATGGCTCTCCCACATATCTAAAGCAAAAAATCATCACCATCAAAATGAAAAAAAAATGATTCTCATTATACCTACAATCATTTTTTATAGTACATGCCAAATCTCATCTTAGTTTATTCAAGTGAAAGTAAGTCATTATTTGCTGCTTTACCTGTTAGTTTTTTTCGTCTGGACAGATGTCGTTCCTCTGTCATATAATTACTTATGCACCCTGAGCAGGTTTATCCTGGTGTCTTGGTGTTCCTATGGCCAAAAGAGTTCTCAACAATACCGACCAGTTCATTAAGTCAAATGTCCTGGAGAAGTCGACAAAGCAGATAAAATTGGGCTTATTGAATTCCCGGGTTTTTACAATTATTCGGCGTAAAGTGAGGATTTGCTTCCGGATACCTTACCCTTCATAATCCAGTCATCATAAAAACAATGTATTGTTCTGTTGTAAAACATATACAGTATTATGTAGTTGCTTGCTTGGCATATATGTAAGTCTGTAGTTACTGCCTATCTTTATGGTCCCCTTCGTATAAACACTGTATGTCATATTTAAGTGTGGGAGAGCCATGCTTCGGCACGAATAGGTCGGCTCGACCGGAGTGATACCACGGCCTCACAGAAAACCGGCGTGAAATAACCACAGCGTTGTGTTTCGCCGTGTGAGTGAGGTTGCCGGAGGCCCAATCCTTCCCCTCTCCCAATCCCTCCTAAATCCCTAAATCTCCAAATCCCTAATCTCTAAAAGGTCGGCAACGCACTCGTAACTCCTCATTTGCGAGTGTCCATGGGCGGCGCTGATGGCTTACCATCAGGTAACCCGTCTGCTCGTTTGATGACCTATTAAATAAAAAAAAAATGTCACACTTTGAGCCATGATCTCTTTTAGTAGTATCTTCTCTACTGTAGGAAAATCTGTAATTCTGGGTGTACCTTGAAATTAGAGTTGCATGGGTTTCGGGAGGTTATTGCGGTGTGGTCCCTATAAAAACAGTTCTCCGCTTTTTCATCTTCTCAAATAGTATCTTCTGATCTATTTTGTTGCGGGATCCCAGACTCATGTCCCCGGGACGCGCCGGACGTCAGTGTTCCGGTGCTTCTATGGTTGTATCTACTGTAGATCCTCAGACTCACAGGAATTACAGCGGTTTTTTAGGTGGTGGCAGGCTAGTCCCAACACTCCCAACCAGCTCGCCACTGTCGTTTTCAACGACCAAGTTTTTGTAACTTTGTAAGAAGATGCGAAGAATTTTATGGTTGTTTCTTGCTTATCGGCGTCATTTGCAGTTCGGCGCATGCATTGATCTCATAACTAACAGTAATGTTATTTCTAGAAGGGTACAAATAGACCAAATACTTCTCTCGCTCTAGGTGCGGTGAGAGTGTCAGACTCTTACTGATTAAAAACCACCCTGTTCTTTCTCCTGGTCCAGACCAAGACCTTGTTACATTTGTTGTCCACGTACGGGCTCCAACTGTGGTGGTCTATTTGGTAATTAAGGTGCGAGTGGAACGCTGCGGCGACATGCTTAGGTCTAGGTCTGGTTATGGTCGGGCACGGACCTACTCTTTGTGACCTTACGAAATCAAGGCTAGCCCATGCCACTCCGATCTGAGTCCGGTCGCAGCTACAGCAATAGCTATGGACGGAAGTTTACATTAAAATTTGTATAACTTATTTTTTCTGTCGTTGACCCTTCTAAGTAGTTACTATATCATGGCTAGGCTACAACTTTTGGATGAAATTCAGAGTAGTTTGCAATTTAAAATTAGGTACTTCTAACTACGCATTTATTTAGTATGTATAGTGTAGCAACCAGCAACGTCTTAGTCAACGTATATCGGACTAAGTACTTATTAGTCTTTGGATAGTCTGTAAGGTAAACAGTCGTGGTCAGCTAATTAGGGACATTCAAAACAGGCCTAAAAACTGGTTAAAATACCAAGAAATATGAATTATTTAAATCTTTTTATTATCACGTAAGTATACATATTCGGTATTATTGTCTGTTACTTTGCAAAAACATGTAAGTATAAATTAGACAAGCGGACCCGGCAAACTTTGTACCGCATTAAATATACCTACTAACAAGTTTTTATTGTTTTTTTTCATACCTTATAAACCTTCCTTTCCTTCTGAATATGATGTATATCCAGGAATATTTCAAAACCATAATTAGCCATGTTGGTTCAAACTTTCCCGAGTTTTAGCGAGACTAACGAACAGCAATTAAACTAGTCAAAGATAACATTTTAGTTCTTTATGATTAGTGATGTTATAGCTTATTATTCCCGCGTTTTTAATTTTGACCAATTTAAAAAACTACTGAGTGTGTACTCTGTTAACAACTTAATATAGGTAGAAAGAACAGTTGTGACGAAACAATGCGAAAATATTTTTTTTTTATCAAGTAGAATGGTGCTATTGGAAAAATAGCAGATCATTTGGAATGTTCCAATAACATAGTCAAGAGTGCCGAGGCATATTTCAAACCGCATAACCCATCTTACAACTGAAAGTGTACCCAGGATAAAGAGACCAAGAAAAACCACCCCACAAAATTGATCGCAGAACGATTGCGTTCCGTTGATATAAAGAGCAAAGTTTTTGGACCAGATTAGAATGCTGGAGTACTAGTGAGGACCGTCAGAAGGCGTGAACGCAATGTTAGCCTTTTTATAATTTATGTGAATTAATTAAACAGTGCAGTTTATGATAAAAGGATCTATATTGACAAATAAGTATCCCGTATCGCAACGGAATCAAGTCATCGGTCAATCTTTTTCAGAATTTTATTTTATTTTTGTCCATAGCGGATATGAGTAGGTAGTCTGCACAAACTCCAAAGTGCATCCGGCGTCGAGACTGTGAGTTAATCCAAACTAAATGATGTATATTTATTAGTATAAGAATATTATTATTGATAGTTTAAGGTACCTTCTCCTTACTGGTACAATGAGTTAATAATAAGATGTCACAAATTCATTACTTGTTCGCTATTTTATTCCAAAATTACAGTTTTTTTAACATTTAACACATTTTCACCAAATTATATCGACTTCACAAGTATCTACTTAAATAAGTATAACGTTACATAATAATTATTATAATAATTTACAATTAGACAACAAATGCGTTGAATTAAATTTCTTATAGACACAATTGGGTAGCTTCAGTTCAAAGCTACATTACTTATGAAAATACGTACCTACATATAAATCATTCCATTACTTTCAATAGCAGCGTGGGAGAGCCATGCTTCGGCACGAATGGGTCGGCTCGACCGGAGTGATACCTTGGCCTCACTGAAAGCCGACGTGAAATAACCACAACGTTGACTACATAAATTATATTAATTAATTACATATTACTAATAGTGTGCTATTCAACCAGCTTAATGTTTATACAAAGGCGTATTTGGTCCCGTCCCATTGTAATTGTGGCTGAAACCGTACAGGACTTACAATATATGCTAAACAGCCTGGCTGATTCTTCTGCTCGCATCGGACTCCGGATGACCTTAGAAAAAACGAAGGTCATGTTCAATGAACATGTTCTTCTGGAGCCGATTACCATCAATAGATCTCCTCTCGAGGTTGTTCAAGGGTATGTCTGTCGTCATCGGACAAACTATCCAGTTCCGGAGAAACAACTTCGAGAGGGAGGCCCATAGAAGGATACAGCTTGTCTGGGCAGCATATAGGAAACTTAGTTAGCTATTCTCGTCAAAGATACCGCAAAACCTTAAGACAAAAGTCGTCAATGAGTGCGTCCTACCAGTGATGACATACGGAGCCGAGACGTGGACACATATAGTGTGACCGATCCACCAATTTAAAGTCGCGCAGCGAGTTATGGAAAGGGCTATGCTTGGAGTCCCTCTGAAGGATCGTATTCGAAACGAGGTGATCCCCAAAGGATTAGCAAACTGAAGTGGCAGTGGGCAGGTCACATCTGTCGAAGAACCGATGACCGTTGGGGTAAACGTATTCTAGAGACCACGTCTAGGCAAACGTAGTGTAGGACGCGTAGTATTAGTAGTAGTCCTGATAGGTGGACTGACGACATCCACAGGGAGGCTGGCAGTGGTTGGATGAGAAGAGCTGAACATCAAGCTCAGTGGCATGCAATTGGGGAAGCCTATGTCCAGCAGTGGACGACATCAAGCTGATGGTGTATTTGGTCCCGAATGTCATTTTCTACCAGTCAAACACATGGTTAATGCAGACAAGTATTACAATATGTTCTTACAAACAAGCCACAAGCTAAATAACAAAGAAGGTAAATAAAATCTTATACTTATATACAACGCAATGAATATGCGCATCCAATAATATATATACATCTATACTAATATTATAAAGAGGTAAAAATTGTAAGTTTGTATATAGGGGGTAATCTTTGCAACCGCTGTTCGGATTTCCAAAATTCTTTCACTGATAGTTAGCTACAATGTTCCTGAGTGCCATAGGCTATAAAACATCACGCTACG